TTACTAAACATAATTTATAAAAATATATTATACTTTGTTATTTTCAGATTTAACGCCGTCGTACACCGTGAGGGTCACGCTACTCATGCTGTGCCAGTACAACACCATTATTAATTATTGTGATTTGTCCCTAATGTATGTAAATGTCTTGTCATGTTTTAGTGTAATAATTATTTAATAAAAAACTTAAGCATTTAATCTGGCTACAATTTTTTATTTTTAACATATTTATACGACATTTGTTTGATGGATTTGCGATTAATACGAATTAAGATAATTCTTCATCAAATTTTGTACCGATAATTTCATACTTAGAAAAAAGGAGCACTAAGATCGAGTAGCGACTTAAAGACTTATAATGGGATGGAATGGAATAAAATCCCAACTCTCCAAGCATGAAGAAAGATGTGAAAGCTACTTGTCCGGTAACTAGAAGTAAAATTATCTCATTTTCTTGCTTATATACTTCTAAGTAATCTTGTAACCTCCGTCACATACTTTTACATACTTTTACTTGAAAAGTCTTATCTGCTGAACATATTTGAAATAATTTTACAAAAAGAAACATATTTTTCTTATTCTATTTTATGGAAATTAAATCTAGGAGCTGCAATATATACGACGTATTCGAATACCTCAAGTTTCACTTCTTACTAATATTATACATGCGTATGTTTGTTTGAAGGTTTCTCTGGAACAGCTCGACAGATCTCGCTGAAATTTGTCATAGATGTAGAATGTAGTTTGGAAAAACACATAAGCTTTTTACTTAACTTTTATTCTTCTTACTTTATTTTTATTAATTCCACGCGGCCGGAGCCGCAGGCGACAGCTATAAAACAATAAAACCAATATAATAAATACAAACCAATACTTAGCATTCCACAAGTACTTCTCTATTGCGAATATGTAAAAAAAATCGTTTTATTCAATTTTAAATACAACAATGACCATATCTACTCATAGACATCACCAATTGTAGGCACTTTACCTACTAAATACCTAAAATATTGCTGAAACATGAAATAAAGTAGTTTCAGTTGGATTTCAGGTAAGATATAAAGATTAAAACGTAATAAGACGTGACGTAACGACGTGACGACGAAGGACGTATTAGAAGTTTTATTTTTATAAGATAAAGAAGTAAACAAACAGCGGGAATACTGAGGTGATCAACAACTCTCATGGACATCCTGTATAAAACGTATTTTTATGTTTTATTGAACACTTGTGGTACATAAAAATGAAAGAGTGGAATTAAGTAAAAAAGAGAAAGTAGTAAGTTTAAAAGGACAAATATTTATATTCTTTATTGTGCAATGTTTTATCATTGAATAACGTGTTACGGAGTAACTATGGTCGTATCTTGTACGAGGTACTTGTGTTAAATAATAGTAAAAAAAATCTTTTACAATGAAATTGAGCGATTATACTATGCGAATACCAAAAGCTTGGGTTAAATGTTTGCAATTCAACATCAGTTTCTGACTATACAAAGTGTAGAAACTAAAATAAGTTGAATCCAGCATAACAATTAGTATCAAACGAATGTTCTTAAAACTAAATATTTCGTTATTGGACGTGATATTTCAAACTGATATATAAACACGGCTAAACACTGACGTATATACGTCCGGTGGCGGCACCGACTAGTTTCGAGCCCATCGGGGGCCCTTCATCAGGATGAGTGGCACTGGTATTATTTCGCGGACGCGGCCCGTCGCTCACTGCGCGCCTGCGCTCTTAGGGCGCGTCTTGAGGGGGCGGGAAACGGGGGTTGCGCCGGCGTCGTCGACGATGTTAATACCAAGTCGTCGGTGGTGTTGTTGTTGAAGTTTTAGTTGAAGTGTTTAGCCGTGTTTATATATCAGTTTAGTATAATGTGTCACGAAAGTTTGAATAATTTGATATTTCAAGTTCGGATCTTTCCACATCATAGACAGCCTTTTCAATTACAAAAAATTGAATGTAGTCTTGTAATTTCACTAGCATTCCGTTGAAGGGTTTAACTTTAGAATTTCCTTTAACCTAAGCTTTAAAGGGATATGAACCTAATTTAAATTATAAAACTGTCATCATTTTCTATTAATCTTTATTAAACGTTACGCATAAATTAAGTCTATTGCTAATGTCCGCTATTTCTGCCAGAAGATTTAGTGATGAACGGGTACAGCGTGTGCGGCGTGTCCTTGACGGTGGACTACGGCATTGAATCTGTAAAAAATAATAAGATTGTAAAACCGACTATAGATATTTTTTTTTGTATAAATTAGAATACTTCAGTTGTCAACTAGAGTCTTGAACCTGAAATGTTGAGATGCCAGAAACACAATTCCAATGGTTTCATTCGTTTGCTATATTTTTATCATGAACATAGTATTCTTTATTGACTTACCCGTTGTGAGCATCAGCAGAGTATTCCACAGTTCTGATGGTGCCGTCAGACTCGTGCAGGCTGTAGGCGCCGCGGACCACATCGCCTTCACGGGACTCGTGTTGAGATTTGATGTCGCCGGTGTGGGAATCGGCTACTGAGTACTCGTAGGAGTAGTGTGGGGCAGCCTTTAAGAATATGATCATAATTAGTTTTTTAATTTAAATCTACATTTCTCGTAATTATTATTGAAGTTTAAGCCTTGTCTTGTTCTCTGTCGTCTACAGAATCTTGAAATACACCGAAACCCACTTATATCCTTAGTACTTACGTAGTAATCCTGACGGTTGTCATAATGTCCAGTGTACTGCGGTTGATGCTGTACAATTACTGGTGCTCTGTAGCCAATGTTTCCGTGGTTTTGGAGAAGACCTTGACCGTGACCATAGCCAGAATAATACTGACCAGCGGCCATAGAGATAATGCAAGCGGCGACTAAAACCTGTTAGATTTAAATATGTTATTTAATATTAATTACTGAAAACTTATAACATTTAAAATGTTTTTTTTTTAGATTAGAAAATGCATCTTATTGTCATGTTATCTTTGCTTAAACGAAGGATTTAGTCCGTAAATCGAATAAAGGTTCCCTTATTTAAGTTGTCTTAATGTATTTTTTGCAAGGGTGGTTTTAAAATATTATTATTTATTAAATTAATTTTATACCTTGTACATTGTGATTTGGTTTTTATTTTACTTATGAAAAATCGAATGAAGACTGATAGTTGATAAAAAACGTATGCACCTTTTTATACTTATCATACGATAAAAGTAGCAGTGATTTTGCACAATATTTAGCGACAAGTATAACCGGTTAAACCAAACGATCCAAATAAATCTCACTCAGATAGCCTCAACCTTGTTTAAAGTTCCTTATTTTTGTTACTAAGTTAAAATAATATCCAATGCAAGCCCTGTGCAAGTAATCATGAAAATTGAGTTTTTATTTGAACTTACATAATGCTATATTTTTTATTTTTAACGTTAACAACCAATGTTTTCTAAGCTTAATATTTTAACTAATAATAATAATAATAATGATTTAATAATAATGATGATTTATTTAAACCAAAGTACACATAAAAATATACATTAGTTCTTGGAACATCCTTTTAAGTATATAATACCTGTGATAGAATGCTCCTGAATGCTGAAACTAAACAACCACGATTCAACACTAATCCACATTTGTTATCATATTGTCACTACGGTACCAAGAGTCGCAAATTGTTTCTCTAATATATTGTAACTTTTTATTCATAATTTAAAAGCAACTAACTTCACTATTATGATTATGAGAACATGTCTTGCATCGCATGCAGTTTATTACTGTAAACAAATACGTTTTAGGAATTTTGTTGCCAACGGAAAGAAACTACCACTTATCACGAAATTTTGAGGGGGAAAATCTGTTACGGCTAATCTACGTACGTTTTACAATAACAATTAGTGTTATTAATATACTGCTATAAAAGACTTGAGTTTATATCACACAGTATCAGTACAATACGGTACACAGTTCAGTTATTTACGAGAATGTTTTCAAAGGTATTTTATTGTAAAAATAGTGTTTTGTTTCATTTATGATATTTTACATAAATATACCTATATATATTTTTATTACATTATTAAAATTTAAGCTGATCATTGTTACTACATATATTTTTAACTTTGATCGGTTTAATTGTGTTTTAAGTTACAGCGTCTTAAAAAATTGGATGGTGAAACTAAAAATGTAGTTTAAAAAATTAGTCAACTATTTATGGTACTATAAAAAAATTTATTTTAAATATTTCTTTTACAGATGATTGTATTGGCTTTCGCTTTGGTTATGGTTGCGCATCTTCATGCCTATGAACATGCGTATTCATCGAATCATATCTCGCGTCATGATGGTCACCATCATGAAGTTCACCACGGACACGAACACCATCATCACCATGACTACTACGTATGTATTCCTAATATTTTTTTTTTAATTTTATTCACATTGTCTGCATTGTATGTACTACTCTTCCATAAATCACTATCGGCCGTCTCTACCCCTTTTTACTCATATCCTTTTTCACACAATACATCCGAACTTTCTTTGATTAACTCTACCTGTGTAGCCATCGTTTTTTTACTCATTACTTATTTTATGTGATCGTCTTTATTCGCATTTGTCATTAATAAAAACTACTCTGGTGCTGATTTAATTGAATAAATGTTTATCTAATAGTGGTTCAATTAATTTCTACCGAAAATTCACAACCATAGCAACGAACTGACCAATTATTTTTATTACACTTATAGACGCACCCTAAATACGAGTTTGAATATAAAGTAGAGGACCACCACACCGGCGATATCAAGTCGCAGCACGAGCACCGCGACGGCGATGTTGTGAAGGGAGGCTATTCTCTGCACCAACCTGATGGCTCTGTCAGACATGTTGAGTACCACGGTGATGATCACAGCGGGTAAGTCTATACTATGTTTTAACACATCCATATTACTATATCTATGTTTTAATAAAAAAATAATAACCATAATAACGCTTCTGGCCTAAAAGTAAATATAAGGTCATTTGTGTCTTATTAATTATTCCTGTAACAATGTCTTATATTTTTCTTAATTTCCAGATTCCATGCGGACGTTAAATACAGCACTCACCACATTGTACCAAAACATTACCATCATCATTATTAGAAGACAATAATTGTTATTTCTTTTTATTCTTGTTTTTTAAAGTAATAAACAATTCTGCTCCAAATACTTTAATTGTTTCTATTTTTTATACCTCTTTCGTATTTCCACATTTAAATAACTGATTAAAATTATACGTGTCAATAAACGAGATGAGGTGAATTTTGATGAGCCATATTTCTTTCTGTAAATTCTATAAATAAATATCACTTTATACATGTTTATTATCGAAAACCGTAGCTATTAGTAAATGAAAATGATTCAACGTTGACTTTTTCAACCGAAATTAAGTAAATCAGTGCAACCTGAAAATAGACAAGGAACAGAAACTTAAACATCACAACGACGTCATCGTAACTAAGGACTCTTCAAGAAACGACCTATCTCTATTTAAAAGACCGGCAACGCATGTAGGTCTTCTTGTGTTATACATACATGTCTATGAGCGTTGACCTTGGTGTTCCCACCGCTCGTTTATCCTCTTAACTTATAAATAAAAAAAAGTTTTTCTTGTATCCAAACCACCCAGATAAAACCCGAAAATGACGGGTTTACAATAATATGTATCCCAGGAGTTAAAACTATTTCGTTGACCAAGTTTTATTCGTTATATTCATAAAAGCTTCTAGATTATTATGGTAAAGAACTTAAAAGCTTATTTTTTTTTTCGCATTTATGTAACTGCAAATAAAATAAGATATATTTTTTCTGTTACATAATACTTAAGGTCTACCACTATATGATTTATATGACCTCATATATTGAACCGGTATTGTCATTTTATACATTTGCAACACCTTATATGTACTTATGTAAAAGTATATGAACAAAGTAATGAAATATAATCAGTTGAAACTTAAATATAGAATTAAAAAAAAATTCTCATGATTTCACTTCTAGTATTTTAATAGATCATGTAATGTTTACCACAAAACATTTATAAACATATAGAAATTCCTGGCTATTAAATGAAAGAGATGTGGGATGGAAATTGAAAAGACTGCACAATTCTCTTAATATATATAATTAACCGTAGGTTTCTGAGATCAAAATATCATTATCCCTTTCAATATATTTGGAAAAACAGTCACAACAATATGTTTTAAACGGTTTCAAAAACCCAAGGTAACTATTACTCTGTTAAATCCAACTATAATGCCTACAGTTATGAAAACATAGAAAACATGGTTTGTTACAAGTAGAGAGAAAACCAAATTTCGGAATATACGATTTCATGCTACGCATAGAAATCAAATGCAAACGAATATACGAATATACAGGCTAAAAAGGAAGTTTTTTAATGAGGAAAGGATAGGACACTTCACTGTGTAGGGTTTTTATGGATATATCATCGTATTAACAGTACTCCACACCATTGTACTACTTTCATATAGCCTAGGTGGTCTTAGAGATATAGAGAGATTAGATTTGTGGAAATCCTGTCAATCATGAGAGAAAATTTACACCTTTTTTTAAACGTTTAAGGTAAATAAATATACATAAGTAATTTAAAATCTATTTTAAGAGTATACTCACTAATTATACGATTCGTTACATTTTTTTATATCATTATAAGTAAAGGTAAGCCTTTACTGTACCTTTGTTTTAAACCTCCATATACTTCACTTTATAATTTTAGACACTATTAGTTAGAATCCTTCGGCGCGAATGGCTTTCATTAAAAAAAGAAGAGTGTCAGAATGATTACTGAGGGGACATAAACGTCGACATTTTAGTAAGGCTAATGTTGCACCAGCAAACCAGCACAATGTCGAATTTTCTTCCTAACAATAATAAGGCTTTTTAATTATTTTCACGTTAAGATATTGTGATATGGTACAGCTTAATTTTATAATTAGAACATTTTTTTTATCATAAGGTGGCAAACCAGCAAGCGGCCACCTGAAATCGCTGAAATAGCGAAGTGACCGTTGCCCATAGACTTATGTCTAGGCAACGCATATGCCATTGCCTATGCAATTGCATATACCTTTAATCGACGGAGGAGAGGATGCACAGAAAGAAAATATTTTCCCATCTTCCCAAAGTCCACTTCCACTTTCCATCCTTTCCTTAAAGGTGGGAAGGATAATAGGACTAAATTAGGCCTCCGGGACGCACACTCATCAGACGAAACGCGGAAACATCATTTTAAAATAGTATTTCTTAGAGTTAATTCCAAAGAGAATCACTTACGTCTGTATTAACTATACTGTATGCATGTTTATCTGCTTTCAATATATCTGTAAAATAACTAAGATAGTTATTTTAATAATTTCTTTGTTAACAGATATTTCAAACTATCTGTTATCACGGAATTTTAATTGTTTGCATTAGCTACGGTTAATCTAACAATGTGTTACAATATCAATCATTGTTGTTTCATTTCAGGCAAAAGCAATATAAAAGAGTTGAATTTTCTGGTTTATGTATCAGTATTCTTCTATAACAGATTGAACTAACAGCTCAAAAAATATTCAATTAAAATGTTTTCAAAGGTAATTTTAAAAAGCAGTAATATAAGTGGTAGTAGTTTTACTAATTAGTAGCCACGGAAAAAATGGAGGAATAAAATTGCAATGCCGCAGCCATAGTGTGTTCATCCCAAAATTGTTTAATTGATCGTAGTGAACATCGACATCGGACGACACGACAGACCGCCAGGTTTCATCCACACCATCTCGATGGCTAGCAATCCATAACCGTGCGGTTTACGCGAAACGGGATTTAGGTCTCAGCAACGCACGAATAATGTAAAATGTAAATTCACATTCACAGATGGTGATTTTAGCCGTCGCGTTGGTGATGTTTGTGCATATCCAAGCATACGAGCATGCGTTTTCATCGAATCATATAACACGTCACGACGGACATCATCATGAAGTTTCCCATGGACATGGTCATCATCACGACTACTATGTATGTATAGTGTTTAACAAATAAATATCAGACAGTCACCTGGATTCTTCTCTTAGTAACCTCTGGCATAAGTTAGATGCATAGATAGACGGACGAAAACACCAGTGTTCCCGTGGCCTCGTCATTATACGTAGAAGGAATACAGGGGACTAGTGGTCATGTTTCCTATCGGAAGAGAAACTTATATCGCCGGGTTCCCTTTTTTGAAAAATATGTGTAGAAAGTTACTTACAAAATAAACTTCTTTTCAAATTGCAGACTCATCCCAAGTACGAGTTTGAGTACAAAGTTGAAGACCACCACACGGGCGATATCAAGTCGCAGCACGAGCACCGCGACGGCGATGTTGTGAAAGGAGGCTATTCTCTGCATCAACCCGATGGCTCACACAGACATCTACATTATCATGCTGATGATCATTCAGGGTAAATAAAAAGAGTGTTCACGGATTGTCATGTGCTAAACTCCTTAAAATACTTATTGGTTCCTTGTAAAAATCGTGTATTTATTTTACTTTTATATGTTTCAGTTTCCACGCCGATGTGAAATACAGCACTCATCATGAACATCATCACTGATTGTTGTTGTGTTAAAATTGATCAATCTTTCTTTGAACAAGAAAATAACTGTTTGTTTTATTAAATTAAAATGTCGTATGCATTCAACTGACTGAAAATAAAAAGTTTCTAGTTATTTAGCTGTATTATTTTATTAAATCTTTCATAAAACTTGTAGAGCAAACTTTTATTAAGAACTTTTTCATGAAGAACAAGATATAAGGCGAATATGACGTCATCTAAACAAGTGTCATTAGCAATATTATAATGGGTAAATTGGACCAAAGGAGCTCAATCCCACCTTATGTTGTTAATTCGTCATCAGCAAGATTGTAAAGTAGATATTACTTCCAGCAACATTTTCCAATCTTTAACTGTACATTTTGTATCGTGAATCACTCAAATCGCTTCATAAGCGTATCTCGCCAATGTAAAAGTATTCAGCCATTTAGCCATAAGCCTTACCGGCGAATGCTGCAACTGAAATATGTTAGAATTAAGTCAAGTAATTTTAAGTTAAAACATAATTAATTAATCGACAAGTTCCATTTCGCTTAAGTAAACTTTTCTACTCAACTACTGTTTACATGATACATGTGTTTTCTGGTATGTACTGTATGTACAATATTATTTTAACAGAGGTAACAAGACAGGCGTGAAGTGGAAGCAATTCCGCGTTTCGTCTGATGAGTGTGCGTCCCGGAGGCCTAATTTAGTCCTCTTTCCCTTCTCACCCTTTTTCTTACAAGGAAAGGATGGGAAGTGGAAGTGGACTTTCCGGATGAGATGATGCATGGAAAGAGAAAATATGTTCTTTCCGTGCATCCTCTCCTCCGTCGATTAAAGGTAGGCAACGCATATGCAATTGCGTATGTCTATGGGCAACGGTCACTTCGCTATTTAAGCGATTTAAGGTGGCCGCTCGCTCGTTTGCCACCGTTTGTTATAAAAAAAATGCCTTACTATTCCAATCCATACATCAGACATCAAAATTCGTATTTGCGTTACATTTGTATTTACATTATTGCAACAAATATTGAATTGCAAGCGGAGTCAATTTCATTGCAAATGTCAAATAGTTGTGTGTGACCTGGTCAACTTTACGCATTTACGGCGCATTTTGAATCGAATTGCTCAACACAACGGGATGCATTTTGTAAATAATGTACACAAAATATGTGGACGAATCACAAATATTTCAAATAATAAACATTATGACTTTTAAAGTCCTAATGTTTACAGTTAAAGAAATAAGCGCAACACAAACGTATGCATACGCAAAAATTTAGACGTTTATTTTTTTTTTACTTCTTACTTTACACTACAAAGACAATTAATTCTATCCGTAAAAGATAAACATAATTTTTTTCCAAAAGTTCAAGGTCAAACAATTTTCACAACAAAATTTTTCATAAATATTCCCAGTTTTTGTCAAATATTTTAAAATATTGAATAATATTTTTACTTTCTATTTTCAATATTAATAAAAATAAAAGTATTGCTCTGCTAGATTAAAAAAAATCTAATTAATCTTAAATGTAATAAAGGTTTGTGATTCCTAATAACCTATTTTACAATTTCATTTAAACGGCGGGAAATACCATTCAGTTTTTATACACTAATGTTCTTAAAAGAAAAACTTTAAAACGTCAGAATATGCTACATTAAATGACGATGTACAGTTAAAATTACTTTATCCGTTTAACTTTTCAAATAAAATTACATGATTATGATATTTGCATTTACCTTATAATTTTAGTTTCATTAAATTCAAAATTCTACCGCAAATTGTATGAATATACGATAAATTTAAGACAATTTTTTTCGTAATGCATTACCGGCGGATACTTAAAATTATAGTTGATCACGGAATTTGAGAGTATTCAGTCACGGTATTCTATTAACTTGTTTCGATAACAATTAGTGTTGTTTAATCGCTCTTAGAAACGATATAAAAGTGTGCGAGTTTGTTATTAACATATCAGTGTACTACAAACCTTAGTACAGCAACAAAGAACAAAGTTAACCAAAATGTTCTCAAAGGTAAGCTATAAAAATTAAATCATGATAAAAAGTAATCAACTTTTTTAACATTTTTATTGAAATTTTTGTTATTTAGGAAGATTTTCAGTAAAATTATCTTTTTTATTTCCAGATCTTTATTTTGTCAGTCGCTGTGATGGCTATTGTTAATGCGTATGATCACGCGTATTCATCCAATCATATTTCTCGTCATGACGGACATCACCACGAAGTAGACCATGGACATGGCCATCATCATGATTATTACGTATGTATTGGAAAAAATACTAATCCTTACGAGTCCTTTTTTTAACATAAGGTGGCAAACGAGCGACCGGCCACCTTAAATCGCTGTAATAGCGCAGTGACCGTTGCCCATATACATACGCGGATATGCGTTGCCTACCTTTAATCGACGGAAGAGAGGATGCACAGAAAGAAAATATTTTCCCTTCCCCTTATTATTCTTACTAATATTATAAGTGCCGTAATTTCTGAATCGATTTTAATTAAATTTGTTGAGCCCAAGAAAGGACATAGGCTACTTTTAATGTGAAAAATAAGTTGAAAGGAATTGAAATAGTGGATGGATCTTTAAAGATGAAATTTTATGGAAGAATCATTTATATGGTAAGAAGCTTCAAATTTATTTTTTAGGTTGTTAATTTGTTGCTCATCGTTTTTTATAGACTCATCCTAAATACGAGTTCGAATACAAAATAGAGGATCACCACACGGGCGACATCAAATCGCAGCACGAGCACCGCGACGGCGATGTTGTGAAGGGAGGCTATTCTTTCCATCAGCCTGACGGCTCCGTCAGACATGTTGAATATCACGGTGACGACCACAGCGGGTAAGAACCAATACAGTTTTATAACGCTTTTCTTTTTTTTTAATAAAGAAGACGAATGCTATCTGCTAGCAACTATTTAATTGTTAACTACGAGTTGGAATGGTTTGAACTTGATCATTGTATTGCCGATGATGGTTTTGAAAAAAAAAGTAGAAGCTGAGTTAGTGTGTACATTTTGAGGCAATCTGCAACTGGTTTTTTTATGTTTCAGTTTCCACGCCGATGTGAAATACGACACCCACCACATTGTGCCTCATCATCATCATCATGATCACTACTAAGTCGTGTGAATTAAAGCGATATGTCTTTTGTCAATTTGTTCTGTTGCTTATAAAATGTGCAAGTAATAAATACATGTTAATAACTCTATACTTACCTTTGAATCAGATTCCTAAAAAATAAATTGCTTTGATAATAAGTTTACATCCTCTCGCCCCAATGTGCAAAGGCAGCGAGGAAGGAGGAGTCACGGCGGCTTTTAACGCGGGTTTCCAATGTATGGTGACCACGATCAGTCTTGACCTGCAGCAATGTAGATAAATTTATTCGAAATACTATAGAATAAATACATTTATACTACAAGTGAATTTGTAGTATTTGTATAACGGGGAAATGCCACCAGCCTCTTGGGAACCCTACCGTGCGACCGCAGCGATTTGGGATCGATTTTTATATTATTTAGTTTGGTTTAGTTTTAATTTATAGTATTATTTTGGTAGATTAATTTTAATTTAATTAGTGACTTAATAATTAATATAGAGTTAAGTAATTCAATAATAAGTTTATGTATATATTTTTAAGTTATCAAATGACATAAAAGCGTATTTGTAGGTAGTGCATAATTTTCTAAACACCGTTTATAACATTATTTGAACAATGAAGCAAGCTGGTCTTATTTCTCAACTGGCCTCGTCCCAAATTCTAAGTCTATGTAGTCTTTGGCTATACCTTGAATCAAGTACTTTATGACAATCAGAGACATCTTTCCGTGAAGTAAATCTTAGAAAATATAAGAAGTTCACTGGCGGCAACACATCTGCAATTCCTCTGGTATTAAAGATGTTCATGGACATCGTCGGTCACCTCAGCGCTTCTGCTGCTCTTTTGCCTACTTATCTGGTAAAACAAAAACTCCATGTTTTGGCATTATATTGATTAAATACAGACATAAAACATTCAAAGAATTACAAATAATGAAAAGTTCTGTTTAATACATAGACTATGTTATAGTCAATCAAATTAGACAGCACATCTCATCATTCTTGATCTAAGAGTTGCGTCTATAATAATTATTTTTTCAAGTTATTTCGTTCAGATAGACAGAGGGGAGAGGAAACTTTGCTTTATAATGAAATAGCTGTATGCATAAGTATAGTTCTAAGCAATTAAAACAGAATGTTAGGTTGCATCATTGCAACACCATTTTTATCAGGGAAAAATGCTACTGACTCGTCACTGAAGTGGTTCAGAATTTTGCCATCTTTGTAATTGTATTGTGCATAAAGCAATAAGGTTAAATAATTTAACGATAGTTTAAAATATAAACGTAAACACAACAAAATGTTAATAAGTATATTTATAAGATTATATTCAATGAGATATTTATCACATAATTTCGTGGTATACTTTATTAAGACACTATTACTGTTTTACATTTTGCTTTTGGTACAGTAATTATAATTTTAGATGTGTTATCAATTGTAAAATAATTTTTAACTTATAATAGTTTTTTTAACTTTGTTTTTTCTTTTCTTCAAAAAAAGAAATCTTGCCAATAAGGGTTAAAAAAGGAAAGTTTTTAATTAGGACTTTTACATAATATAATATTCCTAACGCCATTTGATAGAAAATACAATATATATATATGAAAAATATTTTTTTAAATAATATTACACAACTTGTCACAAGGTGCAAATCTTCGCGAGCCCTCCTAGAGCACTTTTGCTAACTTAAGCGCATTGCCATGTCATATCGAAACATTTTTGCAAAGACATAAGAACGAATAGTAAAGTATCGTAGTAGAACTAATATTAAGTAAAGAAATGCGCAGAAAGTATCAAAGAAATATATCATTTTAATAAATATTTTTATTTTCAATATTTAAAATACAATACAAATATCTGTAATAGTAAAATTAATGATGATGTGGCACAATGTGATGGGTACTATATTTAACATCCGCGTGGAATCTGAAATAAATAAAAAAAAAATCAGCAATACCGTAAAAAGTAAGAAGTTGCATTTTCAAAGCAAAGTAACTAGTTTTAGACATTATTATAATAGTTAAAATCATTTGGCGCGAATGACGTGCTTTCGTTACAAAGTACAGTGGCAGAATGAATAGTGAGGGGACATAAACGTCGACATTTTAGTAAGGATAGTGTTGCGTCAATAGACTGCCACATTTTCGGATTTTCTTCCTAACTCTAGATAGTTTACAACGACTTTATTTTTAAGTTCTTACTTGTAGATGTTTTAATCATTTTTATAATATTTCTTTTTGTATATTTCAATATTTAAAGTAATAAAAAAATATTTGATAAAGTTTAAAAAGGAAAAATAGAGGAAGGAATCGTGATATACCCGGAGTGATCATCAGCATGATAGTGTACATGTCTGTGAGAGCCGTCGGGTTGGTGCAGAGAATAGGCACCCTTCACTGCGTCTCCGTCGCGGTGCTCGTGCTGTGACTTGATATCGCCAGTGTGGTGGTCTTCTACTTTGTAATCAAACTCGTACTTAGGATGAGTCTGTTGTAACATTTTCATCAGATGGAAAAACATTCATTTCCGTCTCGTCTGAGTGTAGTGCGAAGGCCTAGTTTTCTAATAAGCAAAGGATGAGGAGGATAGAGGATTTAATGGAAGGGGGGATAAGAGAAGGTAGACAATAGGAATATCCTTTGCTTGTCTTTCCTCTCTTATCCCTATTAAGTGTGGGCAACGCCGGAAAAACTCTTGGAAATAAGCTGCAGATGCTTATAGATACTAGAGAAAAATTAGAAAGAAATGACTTACATAGTAATCGTGATGTCCGTGGTCATGTCCGTGCACAGCCTCATGATGTCCATCGTGACGTGAGATATGATTCGATGAGAACGCATGCCCGTAACCCTCCACTGCCACTACGACGACGAGAAGGAACAAACAGAAGACCTAAAAGTTCATAAAATAGTTACAAAAAATTACTGTCAATCAAAAAAAAAATGTTTTCTATATTTGCATAAAATTTGTTTTCTGCTACGATTTCTTTTATCATAATTTTATTCAAAAGACTAATACCTTGGAAAACATATTGTTTGTATCAAAAGCACTTTGAAACTGATGAATATGTCATAGATTTCAAGTCTTTTATAAAAAGACAATGCTAGTTTAATCAAGGTTGTTATAATTTCACGCAGTAAAATTACGAAAGATAGAAAATTCACGCATGAATTGTATTTTTAAGTTACCAACTTTAAACTTTCCAAATATTCTAATAAAATAAATTTTCAAATAAAATAAAATAAATATAAAAATATTATGAAAATTAAATAAAATTTCTTTTGTTTCATTAAGTATTGATTGAAAACATTTATTACTTCCAATTGAGCTTCATTTGTTACGCTTATTCCGCTGGCGCAGCGACCCAAAGTGGGTATTGGACACGAGAGATAGCAAAAGTTGCCTGTCCTGCGCCTTCTGCCAGTTATTCGTCTGTAGATCCTGCAGGTCCAGCTCTAAGCCGTCTGGCTAGCGGTATCTGGGCCGGCCGATGGGTTAATTAATTTGTTATAGTAAAATCTATTTGATACTGGCAAATTTTGCAAAAGTTAACATTTATGTCTTCTTCTTCTTCGCATACTTAATTACTGAAGGTCATGCTTGTCTTGATATGCGTTTACGGCTGTGTCGAGCTGCCGCCACGCCGTCCTGTCTTATGCTTGTCTCAGTGCAGTCGTGACATTGAGAATGATTCATGTAATGTTATTATATTAAAATAATAATATATACCACTATAAATAAAAATATTGTACGCAAGTATTATACATTTTATTAATAGTTCGGAACACGTTACGTTTCACATTACGATTTCTAGTTTCAAATATTCTAACTCATGTTACGCTTTCCCTGTTACAATGTATTAAAAGTATTAGTAGAAATTTAACGACTGATATTAGCAAAAACCTTGGACAAGCATTTTTTGGTATATAAATCGAATATTTTATGGAACAGATATTATTTAACTGTTAGATTTACAAGACAAAATATCAATAACAAAATGTTCTCTAAGGTATGATTAGAAAATTATTCTACCTTCATTATTCTTTTGTTTCTTTAATGTTTTTTTTTCTTTTTTAAGGTTCTGTTCTTCGTTGCCATGACTGCAGTAGTGGTGGCTCAAGATCACGGTCACGCGTTCTCATCAAATCATATCTCACGATATGACGGACATCACGAGGCTGTACACGGACACGGTCATGGACATATTGACTATTTTGTAAGCTAACTAAACAGCTTTTTTTAATTAAACTACAACGTAGATACAGTCGGGCGTCTACAGAGTTGTGTATAGCAAGTACCTACACTTGAGGTTTATTCTTGTTTATCTATACATAGAATAATTGTGTTATAAACACATTTGCTTTATTTACTAAGCCTATTGAATTTAAAAATGTTTATGTATACATCTATTTTTATAATTAAAAACCCAAGATTGAGTTTGAATGATATTTATAATCACTATTGTTTTGGATCAACAATTCGACAAATATGTTTATGTGAAACCTACAGATTCAAAAATACGTTTAACTTCCTTATAATATTCCTGTATAAATAAAAGATGATTAGGGAAACAGTTCTATCTCCGATGAGGAACATTCGTACTTATTCTTGATGTTTTCAGACTCATCCAAAATATGAGTTCGATTATAAAGTAGAAGATCATCATACTGGAGACCAGAAATCACAGCATGAGCACCGCGACGGTGGTGCTGTGAAGGGAAGTTACTCATTGCACCAACCAGACGGCTCTGTCAGGCATGTGGAGTACTACGCAGATGATCACACCGGGTAATAATTAACTCTCAATTTACTGTAATCATTTTTTTTTCTTTTTTTTATTACTTTATATATTGTTTTTTTCACAGATTTCATGCAGATGTAAAGTACAGCACACATCATCTTCATCACCATTATTGAATTATATAAAGTCAGTCATAGTTTAGCGAAATAATATGATGTTATGTTTTGAAGTGTCCAAGAATTTCAAATATATTGGTATTAAAAGCATCATGTATAAAGTTTTTAAATAAAAATGGAAAACTACAAACATCTTTTTATTTTCCACACCATTTCAACAGTTGCCCTCTCTGAGAAGTTTTAATTAATATACTTTAGCAGGGCTGCATTTTCTGGTTACTGTCAAGAACAAAATAAAATGTCAATTGAAAACAAAAAGAAAACAACGGGAGTTGCGGCGGTGGGGGCGGGTCCATAATCTATGCCTACACATAGATCCTCATCTCCTCATCCTCTTCTATACAGTAAAATACAAATTAATAATCGCAATTGAAATCATCCTGTAGTTATTAGTATTAATAGCAAATGTTTAGCGACGAAATTGGTACTGACACATGCAAACGTCATATCATCTTATCTTACTAATATTATGAATGCGATAGTTTAGATGGAGGAATGAATGAATGATTTTATGTACGTATCTCCAGAACAAGTAAATGGATCTAGCCAAAATTTGACATAGTATAACATAGTCTGGAAAAACACATACTTAGACTTAAACGTTGTATTCTGCTAATTAAAAGTATCCCAAAAGGTAGTGTTTTTAAATTTAGAATCTCATTTAATACTGAAAAGGAATCATTTTCAGAGTAAATAAAAAGGATAAAATCATTTTGGTAGACCAAAATAAAATTATAGAATCCGTTACACAATAAATCAATTTGGTCTTTAACGGAAAATTAAACTTCCCGAATTATTCAAGTTCAATTGTTTTTTTGCTAATGCATAATGGAAAGTATACATAGAGTTGTTATGTAAAGTACTTTCAGCGATAATATTTATTTTTACACTATTTATAAATCTTCTTTTTGTTAACATTCATAACGTAAATTTATATATAGGAATTTACATAGCACTTGTTTTTCGCAATTTATTTCCGTGAAAACTTTATCGACCACGATACAAAATGTAGGTTAATCTTCAACGCAACGAGATTATTTTTAAAAACATTTTTTTTTGAATTCTCTCTTCTTTTAATGAAGCTTTAAACAGCAATGATAAAATATTTCAGGTAAATAAAATCATTTACCAGCAAATCTATATTTTAATATAGATTGCTAATCCTATCTTACTTCTTACTAATATCATGTTTGCGAAAGTTTAGAAGTAAGGATATAGAAAATAGTCATTATTGACAACATTAAAAAAATATTTTAATTTTTTAAATTCTTTATTGAACAAGTCTTGTATACAATGTCAAAAAATCAACAATTAGTAAAAGTAAATCTTTTATTCCCTAAAATTAGTGAATAGTCAACATTTTGCTGTTAACAGCAAACAATTTTAACATTTAGTGGTGATGATGAAGATGATGAGTGCTGTATTTAACATCCGCATGAAATCTGAAATATTAGAGAAAAACATATTATTGTATGAAAATTAAAAAACAATACAATCTTTCTCTAAATAATGTACAGTAAAATCAAGCATCGTACACACCTCTATGCCAAAGGCCAACACTACTCTGGCGTTGGAAATGGGTATCGATATGCACATAAATATTATATTACATTAGTCGGACAAAAGCTAATTGCTTGCTTTTAACATTAAAATAAAGATTATTTAAATTTTACCCGCTGTGGTCGTCAGCATGATAGTCCACGTGTCTATCGGAGCCGTCTGGCTGGTTCAAATAGAACCCGCCCACAACCACGTCGCCATCACGCTGCTCATGTTGCGATTTCTTATCGCCCGTGTGGTGGTCCTCTACTTTGTATTCAAACTCGTACTTTGGATGAGTCTGTTTAAATAATACCTTACTTAATATTTCGAAAATTTAATGCGAAAGTTTGGATGTATAGATGTCCAGAGCGGTCAATGGATCTCGATTAAATTTAGCACAGGTGTAGAACATAGTCTGGAAGCACAAATAGTCTACTAATTAAGTTTTTTTTTTAATTTGGGACGGGTCATGTTCTAATTAAAATGTTAATAATTTATAGCTTTTAGCATTATACAAACTCCACTCCACACATGTTTTCAACTAATCCGATCAACCCGTGCAAGGAGGCGTTTGCTGAATTTCTATTCTTGGATAAACGTGACTGTATGACACATTATATTAATTTCATGACGCAACTCACATAATAATCGAGGTGATCATGGCCATGATCATGGCCGTGCACAGTCTGGTGATGTCCGTCGTGGCGAGAGATGTGATTGGATGAGAACGCATGACCATGATCTTGAGCAATCACAACTGCCACGATAAGGGTAAAGCACAATATCTGCAAATTATAGTAGTTAAAATCAAAAGTTTTTTGTATTTTTATTAGTAATGACTATCGAAATTTTATGTATAATAGTTTTGGAAATTATTTTGGAACACTAACTGGCTTAGAAGAATCCCCCTTTTCAGGTTCCTAATACATTTTCTAGAATAGTTATAAGTTTAGTTCACAATCGTATTATAAGAAAAAAGCCTATGAATTTTTCATAAGCGTATACTGACCTGAGAGAACATATTTATGCGTGAGTAACTAACGTTTTACTACAAAACGGAAAACAATACTGATATATGTAGAGCAGTATTCATGATTTTTATAGTAATATCACCATTACATTTGCAATATTTTAATCAAGGTTGCAATAGTTTCATATTAGGTAATATCTAAATTAATCTAAGAATTTATATGTGAATTAGAAATTAAAATTTATTTTTTATAAAAAAATTAAGTTACAAAAAAAATCATAAGACACACAGAAAAAGGTTAAGTGTTCAAATGGAATAAATTCGTAATTTACAAATCACCGTGAGAATTTTAATTTCGCGATGTCTACCAATCTTCACTTGGCCAGCGTGGTTGACTATGGCCTAATTACCCCTAACTTAGGGTAGATTCCGAACCCCCCAGTGGGGACGTGTAGTGAGCTGTAGATGATAAGCGTTTAAATGTACCCATATTTATCAATTTCAAGGAAAATAATTTATTACATTTAAAAGTATTTGGATCATAAAACAAAGGTATTCTTCGAAAGATTTAAGCTCTGTTTTATACTATTTTTGAGAAAAATATATTGCATATTGTCATCGTTTTATTATATCCAAACAGTATATTTAATTGACCTTGATCAACATTTTTTTTTTCTGTCGCAAGCTATTTTCTACGGAAATTTGTGTATTATGTGAAAACGTAGCCTTGAAATTCAGCATGAATTTAGATATAAGAATTGCAGTTTGCGTGATTGATATATCATTCAACTACGTGATCTGCAAGTAACAATATCTTGTAAAATCAGGAAAACTTAAAAATGAGTTCTAAGGTATTTATTACATAAACATCAAAAACATCAAAAAATGAGCTAAAATTAAAAAAAAATTCTAAGAATACAATTTTGTATTTTTGCAGGTAATTTGTTTTGCGGCAATAGTCGTATTAGCTTTTGGTATCAGCCAAGCACATGACCATGGCTTTTCATCAATACACATCTCTCGCCACGACGGTCATCATCATCCCGTTCATGTCCATGGCCACGGTCATGGTCATCACCATGATTATTACGTAAGTATTCACAAATGCCATATTTAAAATGGGTTAGGGAAATTATCTAAGTCATGATTTCTTGAAAAATATATGCACAAGTCGCTAACTACATTATTTGTTATGTATTCAATATTATTCCAATATCATCGTTTAATTGAAACCTACTGTATCATCAAAGATTTATTTAAAGATTGGTCTTGTTGTTCATTTATCCCACTGTATCTCTTCTTATTTATCTAGTAAAAAAGCAAGCCTCGACCTAACACTTTTGTCCGGCATTACAATGTCCACAATTCAAACCTTATTTTAGGATCAAAATTCAATTAAAGTTGAGTTTTGTCTCTATACTTCTTACTTTTAGCGAATATTTTTTAATGAATTTATTATTTTTAGACACATCCTAAATACGAGTTCGAATATAAAGTAGAAGACCACCACACGGGCGACATAAAGTCCCAGCATGAGCACAGAGATGGCCACAAGAGTGAGAGCGGGTACTCCTGGCACGACCCTCATGGCACCGTTAAAGTGACAAAATATGATTCTCATCATTAATGAGGAAAAAACCTTTATCTTTTTTGTACCGTCAATAGCCGAATGATATTTTTCTTACAGTATTTTTTGTATAATATTAAGCCCTTGTTTGTTTTTACCCGATTGATAAAAGGGTAATGTTATGTCAATTTTGTTTTGATTGTTATCCAATTAGATTGTTCCAATAAAAATAATGTATAATTTTTTATTTATTATTATACTTTATTTAATAAGACTTCGTGTACTCTTATAAACTTAATCTTGACAAAGAAAAAAAATCTTTGATTAAAATTTTTCGTAACTGCTCGAATTTTGTACTCATTCCTTAATCGCGTTACAAGTATGGTATTACATTATTAAGTGTAAAAGTGTAACGTCAAATTTGATTGGTGGCAATTATTGACACCAATTAGCAACGCATTCGAGAGAGCCGAAACAAAACCGGCCCGTGTTACAATTGACCGTTGATAAATTTAGTTATGTAATGTTGCCAACCAATGTATGTTTAATTATAGTACAATTCTTACAAAGATGTAAAGTAGGAAATCAGCTTATTACCTTTTAATTCAACAGGAGTAAATAGGAGTAACTATCAGTCTGCCATTAATAAGGCTAAGTTGAAAGTGTGACAACAGAAGCATAAGACAAAAACAATTATTACTTCAAACTTTATTGTGTTCTATATTTATGTCGCCTGAGATGTTATATTTCACTGCGACATATTTTAACAGTCTAAGCAGTTGTATTATTAATTTTTATTATCTTTTAAAAGGAAATATTATTAAGATTTTATTGAACTAGTAAAGTGGCAATCATTTGAACTACGGTAGAAACATAGGGAAGAATCATTTCGATAAGTTATAAGTAATTTAATTGTAATTTTAACAAATAATATTAGTCATGGAAATGTACTTATTGGTAACTGAAATATTATATTAAATACTCTGCATAACTTGTCCTAAAATGGATAGAAGTAGCCAATCGAGATAATACAAAAGCTGTAACTTTTGACACGTCGACCTTGCAGTTGATAAAATGGATATATATAAGGAAGTCTTACTTTAAATCCATATCAGTTACTTACAAGCACTGTACAAGTACAATCATGTTCACAAAAGTAAGTGAAAATATAACTAGCAAAATATATCTGGAATTTATAATTATTTTATTAAATTGTAACTAGCAACGGCAAATCTATGCCTTCAAACTGTCCTTGATATTAAACTATTTGTGAAAATTTAACTATTTAGTATAATTACAGATCTTAGCTTTGAGCGCCGTCCTGGCAGTGTCTGCGGCCGGTCTGTTGCCTCAGGCGCACTACTCCTCAGCCGCGGCTGTATCCTCTCAGAGCATCGTCCGCCACGACCAACCTCAAGCCATCCACGCGGCTCCCGTTGCCATCCACGCTGCTCCCCTTGCCTACCAAGCCGCTCCCATCGCCACCTATGCCGCCCCAGCGCGTATCTCTGCCGGTCATGCCGTGTCCTCTCAGACCATCCTACGTCACGAGCAGCCGCGTGCTTCATACGGCATCGCTCCTCTAGCGTACGCCGCCGCACCAGCTCACTACGCCGCTCCCCTCATCAGCCATGCCGCCCCCGCCGCTAGGCTCATCGCCACCCACCAAGACGAATACGTAAGTTAAAAACGTGTTAGTACATATACATTTTTTAATATCTTTAGTTTTGGAGATATTAAACTTGTTATGGTTTCTTTTTAGGCTCACCCCAGATACGACTTCGCGTACTCTGTAGCCGACGCACACACTGGTGACAACAAGTCCCAGCACGAGAGCCGCGACGGTGATGTTGTGCACGGTGACTACTCGCTCCTCGAAGCTGACGGCTCAGTGCGCACCGTGCAGTACACAGCCGATGCTCACAATGGATTCAACGCAGTCGTCAGCCACTCAGCTCCAGGACACCATGCCGCCCCAGCACGCGCACATGTTCTCGCCCATTATTAAACTAGATCTAGAATAGACCAAGGCTTTTGTTACTATTTATTAAATAAAATATATGTGTAGTATCAAATAAAATATATCTTTTAATTTTTTTGCCTTATATGTACACGATTTGAATACTTTCGAGTAATAACACCAAGTCTCCAAATAGCAATAGTTTATTACACTACATGAAATGAAAAAGCGCTCGGCTCACAAGAGAGTAACAGCAGCTACACGTTTCCATTTCCTATCCCGGAAACTAGCCCTTGCTACGTGTACATCTACATTTACATACATTTATAAGCCTTTTTACTGATTTCAATTTATACAAGGAAAGCTCTATCAGGCTCCTGTAAACTGCTAATTCTTATGTTATGGAATCTGTTATTTGGTCATAAAATTTCACTGAGGTTGAGGACGGCATTCCTATTATTATGTGAAAATACGGGATTCGGCATTATTATGCGCCCTCCTATAAAATACATTTTTTTATGTTAACGAAAAATTAAATATAGATCGATATGAAAATAAATTAAACTTTATTTCGTCTCCTTTATTATTCGTGTATTACGATTGTTAAACAAAAGAATAGCGATACAATTTATAAAGGATTTACATTTTATTCTATGGTATTTAAAATCGTAATATTAATTTAAAATGGATGCAGTAAAGGTACCATATATGAGATAATCGTAGAACTCAAAATGACAATAAAATGAGCGATGGCAGATCTCTACATTTTACTGTACATTGTTAGAAGACAAAGTGATCCTATGCGGGTTTCGGTTTTTTTCCTTTCGAGTTACGGAACCGAACAGAACGGAAGTTTTTACTAATAAACGGAATATAACCGGGAAGGTTACTATTGATATGACAGAAAAGAGATCATATATACCCTATCCATCTGGACGAAGTAAAGGTGAGTCACTAGTATACTTCTAAAGTGTCAATGCAGTTAAATTGAATTGACGATAGAGGCCCTTTTTTCCAGAGGGGAATGCTTTAGGCATACTCCGCGCCTCGGGGAAGGCACGGTAGTTATGTGGGATTCTCTCCCTAATGGGAGCATACCCACTAAACCCTTCGGTTCCCTCATAGCCATAATGTGGGACGCCACGGGATCGTGTTAACTTACCACCGCGACGCCCCATTGACTAACCCGAGAATAGGGCTCCTCAATGCGCCCCCAATGGGGCGGTGCACCCGTAGGCGCTCCTCAGAGACTACACCGTGCAATGCAGGTTCGGGATTCCCCGCCCTGCCCCGCTGATGCCGCCTAGGGTTTATAGAGGTCCACCTCTTGGCCCCCGTCTTCATCAAGAAAGAGGCCCGGACGATAGAGGCCCTAAGAACCAAATAACTGTGATGGTACAATGATGTTAGTTTATATTTAATTTAAAATACATATTCTAATACTATTATTATTTAATTATTGACATTTATTTTAAATAAAATTGAGGAAAAGAATAAGAATTATATATAACGTATAAACTTACATAATAATCAAAAATGAATTAGAAGTAAAATTTTATATATTTCCAATAAAACAGCCCATCACTATTGTTCCCGATATTGTACTTATTATTTTTTTCTAAGATAAGTAGCCAAATCGACCTTCTAGTGTACTTGAGAAGCTAGCAGAATGTTAAATAAATGAAATGATTCATCATAAAAAGTATTTTCTATTAGAGATTTTGGACTTATACATTTTATATTTTACAACCTTTATTTTTTTATTTTAAAAATATTCTATTACTTATAACTACTTACACAAAAATACTTTCACATAAACCACTATGAATCATGTCAAACTGCTCTTGACTTGTCGACCTTGCGGTCGTTAAAATTTACTTACTATAAAAGCTCCCCAACCAATGAAAGATTTATCAGTTGAATTTCATTGACTTTGACATCATGTTCTCTAAAGTAAGTTCAAAAAAATATAAGAATGCGTGATGCTTGAGAAATTTAATTAATAATAAATTAAACATAATAATTTTTTCTTACAGATCCTCGCTTTGAGCGCCGTATTGGCCGTAACCGCGGCGGGTCTTTTGCCCCAGCCACACTATTCTTCAGCCGCCGCTGTCTCCTCCCAGAGCATTGTGCGCCACGACCAGCCACAAGCGATCCACGCCGCTCCCGTGGCCATCCACGCCGCGCCCCTCGCCTACCAAGCCGCTCCCATCGCCACCTACGCCGCCCCCGCCCGTATCTCTGCCGGTCATGCCGTGTCCTCTCAGACCATCCTGCGTCACGAGCAGCCGCGTGCTGCATACGGCATCGCTCCCCTAGCATACGCCGCCGCCCCCGCTCACTACGCCGCGCCCGTCATCAGCCACGCCGCGCCAGTCATCAGCCACGCCGCGGTCGCCCCTAGACTCATCGCTGCGCACCAAGACGAATACGTAAGTTTTATAAAAAAATAAACACAACATAGTTCACAATAATTAATATTGTTGATAAGTACCTCTTATAACAACTTGTTATTTTTGTCACAGGCTCACCCCAGATACGACTTCTCGTACTCCGTGGCCGACGGACACACCGGCGACAACAAGTCCCAGCAGGAGAGCCGCGACGGTGACGCCGTGCATGGACAGTACTCCCTGCTGGAGGCCGACGGCTCCGTGCGCACCGTGCAGTACACCGCTGATGACCACAGCGGCTTCAACGCGGTAGTCACCAACTCCGCTCCCGCGCACCACGCCGCCCCCGCTCACGCAATCCTCGCCCATCATTAAACATTGTCCATAGCCAATCTGCCTCATTGTGATAATTAAGTTATTTAAATATGATTTAAGATTTCAATAAAAGCTGTAATTAAAGCATAACATGAATTTTCTTTTTGACAACATAAATATTTATAAGTTTAAGATGATATGCCTTTCTAGTGTCCAAGATGCAAGATATTTAGCAAGGAAAAAAAAAATAGGTAAGAAGTAATTGATTAATTGGTGACAACGGAACAGTTCGGCTTAAGTCGAAAGATAAATAAAATCAAAAGTAGCACTATCTGCTAATTGAAAAACAAAAAAACCCGACTGACTGTTCTCCTATAACACTTTTGGGTAGAATACGAATCAGGCAACCGGTGGTCACGATCAAACTCAAATACATAAAATGATACATAAAAATATAACTTCGTGCGACAAATAGTATCCACTTGAATTTTTAGATTGTAAACTGGAACCCGCCATTATGTTTTAAGTTTACGTATATCAGCATTTAAGTATTGTAGAGTTAAAAAACATAGTGTACTATATTATCGTGCTATTCTAAAGAGGATTTGGTTGTTAAATATTTAAAAATAACTAATATTTTGGCACCTAAATAATGAAACCTTCTTCATTGCTGAATTTTATCTTTGTTTAGTTTTCTTATACATTTGTAATTACTAATGTACATAACGAATCTACACACTTACTCTACACGCTACTAAAAAACTTCTCTTCATGAAGAATCGTAACATTTAAATGACATAAAAAATGAAATAACCCATTTTTTATTATATATTGTAAAATAAAATGTCCATCACAGTCTACAAGGAATAACGCAAACAAGGAAAAAAGCAACTTTATCATTTGAAATTATCTACTCTAGAAAAATTGTTCTTTAAATTACATATACAGCTACAGCATGAGCGGAAATTTTAGACCGAGTATCCATATTTTTTGACCAAAACTGGCCAAAGTTAAGTGTAGCCTTTTATGGAACCAATAATCAGAAACATATAACAAACTATCCAACTGTCGCGAATTAAATAAAGTTTCCTGCTCCTTTGGATCGTCGAAAACGTAAAACAGACTCGGATTTTTTTTTGTATAATTCTGAATTTGGAATTATAAAAAACATACCAAAGGGTTGACCAATTAATCAACTTCAAAACTGCATAAAAACTTATTACTCCACCTAACATATATTTTTAGTTAGGGACCGTCAAACCTTGTAACACTAGGTGGGTCGATAGATGTGTCCGGGAGTGTAGTTACATACGAACTCCGATCAATTTTCTTACAACTACATTATTATTTTTGAACCTTATGTACAATACTCTGAAGAAAACGAAGAAGGTTTCATTAATAAAAAAATGGATTAAAACAAATGAATGAATTTGATTACTAGTGCTGTGACGTTAATTTGATTAATAAGGCATAATATCGCCGACCTTTGAAAGAAGATGGTACTATCAAAAGAAGGATGTCTGTTAGTAATAGTCTGTTAGTAGTAAGAAAAGCAGTTTCAGACTCAACCCGGAGTTGAGTCTGAAACTGCTTTTCTTTAAATAAAAAATAAATAAATAAGCAACGACGCCTTAACATACAGCAACCAAAACTGTCAATTTTAGTTGAAAATTAATTCCTATTTTGGAACATGAAAAGTCTGTTTACTAAACAAAAAAAAAACAAACAAATTAAGCTGAGTCTTAGAGTGAATCTCTGAATAGGAAAGCATTTACTCATACTCCGATTGTCTTACTTATATTATAAATGCGAATGTTTGGATGGATAAATGTTTGTTAGAAGATATCTCCAAAATGACTTAACGTGTCTCTGTGAAATCTATATATATAAAAGAAAGTTGTGTTAGTTACACTATTTATAACTCAAGAACAGCTTTACCGGTATGGCTGAAAATTGATGAGGAGCTAGCTTAGAGCCAGGAGACGGATATCGGAGAATATTTATTCATTTTATTTTTATTTAGTTTTTCGAATTTATGCTTTGAAGAGCTGCTTTTTTAACTTAATAATATTATAAATGCGAATGTTTAGATGGATGTGATGTGGATAGATGGATGGGTGTTTGAAGATATCTCTAGAACGGCTGAACGGATCTCGATTAAATTTCGTATAGAACATAGTCTGAAGGTACACTATTTTTTTTTATATATGCACGCGGACGGAGTCGCGGGCGACATCTAGTTTGGTATAGATATAAAATTGGTCTGGAAAAACACATAGGTCACTAATTTAGTTTTTTTTAAGGAGAGGGCGAGAGCTAGTGATTGATGATTTCTTGCACAATAAAATATGAAAACAATAGTAAAAGTGTATTTTATTTTTATATTTAACTATAATATAAATTACACCACATGCAAAGTAAATCATATTGAGGTAGCTTTTAACCTGTTGACCTTGTTACAGCCGAAATTCAGCTGCTATAAAAGCTCTGTGACCAATGCAAGCTTTATCACTTGATATTCATATCCGGTTAAACCATGTTCTCCAAAGTAAGTTGAACGACATTCTTTTATTGGATATTTTTATTTAATTAAGATTTCAATCTATAAATACATCTAATTTTAATGTAAATAAGTATATTAAAATTTATAACAATAATTTTCCCTGTATGAAGCTTGCGATGTTTAAAAATTTTCATTTTACAGATTCTCGCTTTGAGCGCCGTACTGGCCGTAACTGCGGCGGGGCTCTTGCCCCAGCCACACTATTCTTCAGCTGCCGCTGTCTCCTCCCAGAGCATTGTGCGTCACGACCAACCACAAGCCATCCACGCTGCTCCCGTCGCCATCCACGCTGCTCCCCTGGCCTACCAAGCCGCTCCCATCGCCACCTACGCTGCCCCCGCCCGTATCTCTGCCGGTCATGCCGTGTCCTCTCAGACCATCCTGCGTCACGAGCAGCCGCGTGCTGCATACGGCATCGCCCCCCTAGCATACGCCGCCGCGCCCGCTCACTACGCCGCGCCCATCATCAGCCACGCCGCGCCAGTAATCAGCCACGCCGCCGTCGCGCCTAGACTCGTCGCTGCGCACCAAGACGAATACGTAAGTTTTATAAAAAAATAAACACTACATAAATCGCAAAAATGAATATTGTTGCTAAGTACCTCTTATAACAACTTGTTGTTTTTGTCACAGGCTCACCCCAGATACGACTTCTCGTACTCCGTGGCCGACGGACACACCGGCGACAACAAGTCCCAGCAAGAGAGCCGCGACGGTGACGCCGTGCACGGCCAGTACTCCCTGCTGGAGGCCGACGGCTCCGTGCGCACCGTGCAGTACACCGCTGACGACCACAGCGGCTTCAACGCGGTAGTCACCAACTCTGCGCCCGCGCACCACGCCGCTCCCGCGCACGCAATCCTCGCCCATCATTAAACATTGCCAATAGCCAGTCTGCCTCATTATGATAATTAAATTATTTAAATATGCATAATTTAGATTTCAATAAAATATAATGAAAACTACAAATCTATTTTATTATTATCCGGCTCACGAGGTTTTCACATGTATGAAAGATTTCATGACATTCGATTCTTTTACATCCCGCTATCATAGGGTATCTTACATGAATTAAAATCTCAATTCGAAATCTCAGTGGCCATAACTTATTTTTACCATTACTAAATCTTTTTTTTTGATATTTTTAAGTATATTCTAATAAAAGAATTTAAATTATTATTTTTTTAAATCTTTGCTATGAATACAGCATGCATCGATAGCTCTATTTCATCTATTAGAGTCTGTGTCAGTGGGTTTTGTTGTTTTTTTTTTATTAAGTTTCAGACACTTTAATAAACTTTTACTTAACGTATTTTGTTAAGGGTCATCGTTATGAGTCAAATAATTATTTTGTTGGGATAAAATTATGTTAGACCCAAAGAAAATTTAATAAAAAAAAATAATGAATTGTTTTCCGTGACATCATTTATTTTAACAACTCTGAAATTAAAATCCTATGTCATACCTAACAAAAGCTACCCATCGCAAAGTATAAGTTATTTGCGTACTTTGACTGCATTTAAGATTAAAGCAGATCATTAATATTTACTGTCAATAAATTACTGTTTATAAGAAGTAACATTAGACGTCACAGTGGTTCTGACTTAGAAAAAAATTAAAAACACTAAATAAGACAATGAGCTAAATAATAAAATTTATAATTCACTTGATTTTTTAAACAGGCACAGGATGCGACCGGAGTTCAATAACAATGCTATAATTATTGTTTAAATCTCCTTATCCTCGAAAGATGAATTACAACAAAATTTTGACTGTACAAAGATTCTATACCCAAAAGATTGTAATGAAAAAAAAAGAAGTTCCGCGGCAGGTTTTACAAAACTTACATCAATTTTGTTGAATCCATCGCTTCTTACCACTATTTACACTTCGACAAGTTGTTACATTTGGGTAATAGAAAATCAGATTATAAAACCAATAGTTATTATTATTGACTCTGTAAATGATAGCACCGACCTGCATTTCACAGAACCAGTCAGTATCAAGCTCTTACTGGTACGAGAAAATCCTATGTACATTTACTTCTCACCAGAATGAAGTGATCTTAATATTCTTTCCTTGCACATAGAACAAAGGATTGGAATACATTGCAGATGTAATTTCGTCAGCATTACTTATATCTAGGGTAAAATCGCGATCACTTTTTAGGGAAGCATTAATGGGATAATACGAGAAAAAACAATTGTATGCCATTTTTGGTTTGCGCTAGTTTAATAATTATTAACAAAAGAAATATTTTACTTAAATAAATATTTAAAGAAGCGAGCTTATCACCATTTAAAGGCCGGCAACGCATCTGCGGTTCCTGTGGTAATGCTGATGTCCATGGGCGTCGTTGAACACCTCGGTGTTCCCGCTGTTCGTTTGCCCCCTTCTGTTGTAAAAAAAAAACTATATTTTACTATCGGAAAGGCACATACAAAGTTATTAATTAGTTTCCGTCTTTGCTTAATTGTATATCCTGTCCAAATTACAACGTCGTTATTGATTTAGATGTCGAAACTAATTAATTTACAACTTGTACTTACTATTACATTAGCTAGACAGATGTTCAGCAATGATATATATACGTTGTTATGTAAGTAACTTAAATAATATATAACATAAAGAGTATATAATACTTGAGTCTAGATTGCATCAAACTAAATAAAAATTTAATTACTCAATTTTTTTTTTTTTTTACATATTAGCAGATTTTTTTTGGAAATTTACTAATATTTCTTTTACCATTCCAACTAAGCTCTAGGCTTGTGCTAGGATATGGTTTACGACAATAGTCGAATGGCGGGATTCGAACCCCCGACCTCGTGGTCGGAAATCCGTATCCTTAACCATTAGGCTATTGACACTTTTTATTAAATAGACGATTCATGATGTTCAGTCTATTTAAATATTTTTCCTAATTATTTTGTACCGTAAGTTTCCTACGTTTCTTTGTAATTTAGTTTTTATTGTAAAATATTTTAAGGTATGTTAACGATTCCTACTAGGAATAATTGAATACCGGAATTTTAATTTATTTAAAATTTTAGGCAATATTGCTATGCGTGAAAAAAGTATGCAAAACTACTTTCCGACACGCTGACCTTGTCACAAGTAAATCTCGATCAATATAAAAACGAGTCATATCACCGAAAGTTATATCAGTAGTTGTATCGCAACACTTACAAAATGTTCTCCAAAGTAAGTGCCATAAAATATGATAGCAAATATTAATAAAGAACATTTGATAAACATTAATTTTAACAATTCTTACAGATCCTCGCATTGAGCGCCGTACTGGCGGTGTCAGCGGCGGGTCTCCTGCCCCAGGCGCATTATTCCTCAGCCGCAGCTGTGTCCTCCCAGAGCATTGTGCGTCACGACCAGCCGCAAGCCATCCACGCCGCTCCCGTCGCGATCCACGCCGCTCCCCTCGCCTACCAAGCCGCTCCCATCGCCACCTACGCTGCCCCCGCCCGTATCTCTGCCGGACATGCCGTGTCCTCTCAGACCATCCTGCGTCACGAACAGCCACGTGCTGCATACGGCATCGCTCCCCTAGCATACGCCGCCGCGCCAGCGCACTACGCCGCTCCCCTCATCAGCCACGCCGCCCCCGCCGCTAGGCTCATCGCCGCGCATCAAGATGAATACGTAAGTTATATACGAGTTACTACTTAAATTTGTTTAAATATCTGTGATTCTGGAGATATTAAACTTGTTATCATGTTATTCAGGCTCATCCCAGATACGACTTCTCGTACTCTGTGGCCGATGGACACACCGGCGACAACAAGTCCCAGCAGGAGAGTCGCGACGGCGACGCCGTACACGGCCAGTACTCCCTGTTGGAGGCCGACGGCTCCGTGCGCACCGTGCAGTACAGCGCTGACGACCACAGCGGCTTCAACGCGGTTGTGACAAACTCTGCGCCGGCGCACCACCCTGCCCCAGCCTACGCTCCTCAACACATCATCGCACATCATTAATTTGACAAAAAATCCTTTATAAATCTTAGAACAGTCATTATTTATTGCAATAAACAATAAAAATATAGATATGCTATATCATTTATGACTCCAGTTAGGGTTGAAATATTCGTCTAAATTTTTTTTTAATCCACAATTAATTGTGTATCTGTTTGTCAGTTTATCATTATATTTCGTGAAGCAAAGCAGAAGAACGTGACACATATGTCACATTCACAGTCAATGTAAAGAAATTCATAAGACTTTAAATAAAAATCTTTAATTTTGAATTATGCTGGAACATTGGTTAATGAAATAAATCTTCTAAGAATATTGGTAGAGATACGAAACTGACATATTTTCTTCTGATATATAGTTTTCGGTCAGGTCAGGTCAAGCGCCAAATAACTACGCCACCTACGCTATTAGATTTTTTAATCTACGTTAAAAAATTCACGAGTTCTGTATCAAAACCAGAATCAATTGGCTACACAAAGTAACCATATCTACATTTTTCAGCATGGCCTAGAAATATTTTTTTAACTAGATAAAAATTTTATTAATTTATTTATTTTCATAACAATGCCCAAGTCTTGGATTCTTTTGTGGACTAGCAGAAATAAAATGTAAGGAGTTACATTAAAAAAAATCTGAATACTGTCAAGCAACGACGAAGAAGGTTTGTATTGAAGCTTATAATAAAAAAAACTATACAACATATACTACTTTCAATTTTATAATAGAAACTGCTATAACTAAAAACATATTATTGTTTTCTCTGTTCTTTTCCAAAGAACATGAAAAGGACAGCAATAATGATAAAACTGAATCACATTAATTTTGAACTCTCAAGTGAGTTTACATAAATTCTGTAACCTAATCGTACAATTTGAAGCTCTTGAGACGTAGTCTTTCCAACTTGAATGAAAAACACAATGAAGATACATGTAATTTAAAATATATCACTAGGAGATTAGTGACGGGCTTTTTAATGATAAAAATATTCTATATTTAAAAAACTCAAGATTTAAACAAGTGATTTTCTAAATACATATGTTATTTTTATAAATCGGCGTGTTTTCGATATATTAACTTGGGGAACAAACAATATGTAATATTGTATTAGATAAACCAAACATAATCATGAAGCAAAGTTTATTTAGTGCGCCAATAGCCTAATGGTTTAGGGTACGGATTTCCAATCACGAGGTCGGGGGTTCGAATCCCGCCATTCGACTATTGTCGTAACCATATCCTATTACAGGCCTAGAGCTTACTTGGAATGGTACAAGAAATATTAGTAATTTAACAAAATCTCCTAATATTCTCAGTATTTGTGTAGCACAGATAGCATAAGGTCTAAGGGCAGTTGACCTTTGCGTTTTTATATGTATATTATATGTATTATATACAATGTGACTTATAAGATTATGTGAAGGCCTCTTATTATACATTTATTTTTATTTTTTACACATTAAATAACTTTTTCCAACCGATGATTAACCTTCTAGTCAAATAAAAGTGTACTTAGTCATTTTTATTAAATTCGATTATGTATTGAAGTCACTATTCCCCAATTCCAGCAGTTTTGTGACTTAACATACCATCAACTTACTTTTTATGAATACTTTTCCGTAAACAAAGAAATATCGTTCTCAGCATAGATAAATTAAAATCAGTATTTTGCAATCAAATTTCAAAATTTTCATGTACTTTTCTTCTTCTTGAGGTGCCTCACCGACTAATGAAGGTTGGCTTTCAGTTCTCCATATTGTATCCAGTATCTCTTGTCTCTTGCGAGGCGAAATCGTTGGGCGGCACTCGCTACCCCTGTGTCTCGGATGTTGCGCTACCAGGACTTCTTTCTGCGACCAACACTCCTTTTACCGGGAACTTTTCCCATCAAGATGAGTTGGATCAGATTGTACTTTTGATATAAGATTACTTTTGTATATTAGTTGGTGGCAATAGAGTAGATGGCCACCTGGATTAGCCGAAATAGCGAAGGGACCACTGTCTATAGACAACTGTAAATTGCAGATGCGTTATCTAGCTTTAAGTTTTTTTTTTGCTAAATTTTGGTGTTCTATCGATTACGAAAATAAAGTGACTGGTATGTCAGCCTTTTTATGTCATAGACTATTATTTCATTTGAAGAACCATTTCAGAAACAAACGATATTGTATTACAAAATGTATGGCGACTAGTTGTCTTTCGAAGAACATTACATATGTATACCCTAAATTTTTATGACCACAAAAGTACGCACGTTTTTTTTACACGTTGACCTTGTTGGAAGTTAAGCTCGATCAATATAAAAGCAAGCCGCGTTTACGAATTGCATATCAGTAGTTGTATTGGTACACTTACAAAATGTTCTCCAAAGTGAGTGAAACGAAAAATATATATTATAATTATAGTGCAAGTTGATAAGGAATTATAGATAGACATTAATTTATACAATTATTACAGATCTTAGCTTTGAGCGCCGTATTGGCAGTGTCAGCGGCGGGTCTCCTGCCCCAGGCGCACTACTCCTCAGCTGCCGCCGTCTCCTCCCAGAGCATCGTGCGCCACGACCAGCCTCAGGCCATCCACGCCGCTCCCGTCGCCATCCACGCCGCTCCCCTCGCCTACCAAGCCGCTCCCATCGCCACCTATGCCGCCCCAGCCCGTATCTCTGCCGGTCATGCCGTGTCCTCTCAGACCATCCTTCGTCGTGAGCAGCCGCGTGCTGCATACGGTATCGCTCCTCTAGCATACGCCGCCGCGCCCGCTCACTACGCCGCGCCCGTCATCAGCCACGCCGCGCCAGTCATCAGCCACGCTGCCGTCGCCCCTAGACTCATCGCTGCGCACCAAGACGAATACGTAAGTTTTATAAAAAAATAAACACAACATAATTCAGAATAATTAATATTGTTGCTAAGAACCTCTTATAACAACTTGTTATTTTTGTCACAGGCTCACCCCAGATACGACTTCTCGTACTCCGTGGCCGACGGACACACCGGCGACAACAAGTCCCAGCAGGAGAGCCGCGACGGTGACACCGTGCACGGACAGTACTCCTTGTTGGAGGCTGACGGCTCCGTGCGCACCGTGCAGTACACCGCTGACGACCACAGCGGCTTCAACGCGGTAGTCACCAACTCCGCTCCTGCGCATCACGCCGCTCCCGCACACGCAATCCTCGCCCATCATTAAATATTGTCAATAACCTTATCTAGAATTTAGTGATAATTAAATTATTTAAAAATGCATAATATTTTAGATTTCAATAAATGATAATGAAAGCTACAAAGGTTTATTAATTTAGTCTTTCCAACTCACCATTATTAAGAAAAGCTAAAAGAATATTGGCATTCGCAAGATTCACGTGCAATGGAGCTGCTGTGCAGACTTTTTGGCTGCAAAGTTTAACTAAAAAATTGCTGCGATTATTTTTAAACTTTATTCGTTTTCAATGTCAATCAAGTTAAGTATAGTATATGTTTATAGCCATAGTTCGTAGCAGCCAAATTATGTTTTTTTTTTTATTTTAGGTAGCTGGCTGTAGTGATCGATATGAAAAATGAAAATGAAAAAAACCTTTATTGTTATACACAAGAAATTCAAAATTCAATGTTACCTTGGCTCCTTAACTAGGAAGACCTGTACCATATTAAACCATAACATTGTAACATTTAATTATAACTGGTGCATGCAAACTCGCCACTATGAGTTAGAAAAGATAATAACAATAATTATCAGATTTACAAATACAGTATCATAAAATTTGATGGCTTTCTTTGATGAGCTAGATTGTCTGAAGTGATCTATGACCTGTCCTCACGCAAAATATACGCTAGAAGTATAGTTACAGAAACCGTAGCCCTTACTACTAGTACTTCTACTACAAATACTGCTACTACTACTAGATGATAGTGTTTAATTGTTTTATAATGCATGGGAGGAATCTGCAAGCTCATCGACAGATAGGTTTTTATCATGTTATTGGATAAGCCCGGATGCACGTGACTTTTCGTTAAGGCCAATTATGATTAAATAGCTTTTTTAATAAAATAATTTAATGATAAGTTGTTAAAATATTTAATATTTTATTTATGTACGGTTTATTCGCTCGTACTAATTTATTTAAAACGTCAAAAAATCTCTTGCTGTTTATGAAAATAGCCGTGATTTATGTGATTCAAATTTTTTAAAAATACTAGAGAGCTATGTTAATTTATAATCGAGATAAACTTATACATATACAAAATATATAAACACTGAAAAATCACAACTTTTTTTTTAACCAAAGACATTTAACATGTAATAGACAGGACCCAATAACACATTATAAACCAACATGTACTATCAAAAAAGATGCAGATACTTCTGGTACAGTTTCGTTTAACATACTTAAAATATTCGAAGCATATTGTTTCCTCTTTGTGGAACAAGATATAGCTATAAATATATAACTATGTTAATCACTAAGTTTAGCAAAAGTTTTAAACTGTGAATCTTTATAAACGGAGAGGCGTGGAAAAATTTATTTTTAAGAAAATTATAATACCTTGGTGACTAATCGTTAGTTTCAGGGACGAAAATCTGTTACATAATCTTTGACAAAAAAAAAAACATAAGGATTTTTTATACAGGGGTTTTGGTCTCAAAAATCAGCAATAAGTTACTTTGAGTCAAGCATAAAAATATGTTCTTAAAACATAGCACATTTTTAGCAAAAGCAAAGCTCATTGAAGCTTAAATAAAAGTTGCACGGAATCCGTAAAATTTTTAAATGTCATTGACCAACTGACATAACTGCATTGACGGTCATTCGAGCTTTATTTCTCCCTTCACATTTTTATTTTTGATTGTTGAACTTCGAATAAACTTTAAACGTTAATCTACTTATCTTATCTACAAGCTTAAATCTATCGCTTACTTTTAACTAAATCACGAACTATTTATTTTTCTAAAAGGCTAATAACGTTTGATATTAAGTTAGTAAGCTTCAACTGTGTAGGTCAAAGTCAAATATATTTCTTTAATACAAACAATTGATTTAAAAATTAAATAAATCGTATTGTTTATAAACAGTACTTTTATAATTCCGATGAAAACTAAACCAGTACAGTCGGCTTCGTAAATATTTGAACACTTCCACAACTTTTGTAACTGGTAACAGGTATTCGCTTACAAAAATATGTATCCACGAATACGTCAATAAAATGTTATCATAATCGGAAACATATGCACGGATGCGTGTATACACATTTTTGAAACCAAAGACATATTGGTACTAGTTATTAAAGTTCTGTTTGTATGTATATTGATGTAGCTGACTGTACAAACGTAGCGATAATTGATACAATGTTGAACAAAGAAATGGGAACTCGTTCGAGAGAATTTCTAAGCTCAAGTTTGACTCATGTATTTACAATTGAAGAAACTCATATTTTTATTCCAATATTGTATTTGTGAAAAAAAAACTTTAAGTATATTAAATTTGCAATCTATGTCACAGTAAACTTTAATATTATAATATACAAAAGTTGAGAAGAATCAATTAAAATTAATGCCTAAATTATTTGTCTTAAAATTAATTAAGGTCTGTAATAACAATAATTCTTATTTTTTTTATCTATCATTAACAAAACAGAACTTCATTTCTTTATTGATCGCCTTTCACTTCTTTTTAAACATGATTATTATGTAAGACGATACTATTAAGTTCACAGAAAAATACAAGTAATTTACTCGTCGACCTTGCGTTGTGAAACACAATTTATATAAAAGCGACTTTTTACAGGACGAGTGTATCAGTACCTGCAGAACACACAAAAACATGTTAACTAAAGTAAGATACTGCTTTGTTATCGTGCTAATTTAAAAAAAATATTGAAAAAAAATCATCATCGTATATGTTCACATTTACCTAATAAACATAATAATTGTTCCAGGTATTAATTCTGAGCGCCTTTACGGCGATAGCGTCTGCTGGGCTCATTGCTGAGCCACATTACTCATCGGCTGCAGCGGTCTCATCGCAAAGCATCGTGCGCCACGACCAACATCAGACCATCCACGCAGCACCTGTGGCCATTCACGCCGCTCCGATCTCATACAATGCCGCTCCAGTAGCTTACCATGCCGCTCCTGCTCATATTGCCACAAATGCTGTGTCTTCTCAAAGCATTTTACGCCATGACCAACCTCGTGTCACTCTCGCAGCTGCACCTCTTGCCTACACTTCGGCCCCAGCTCATTATGCAGCTTCACACGTAAATTACGCCGCTCCTGTTTCTTACCAAACATACCCAGCTCGCGTATCTTCCGGCCACGCCGTGTCTTCTCAAACTATTCTGCGTCAAAATCAACCTCATGTTACTTTAGCTGCGGCACCTATTTCTTACGCTGCTGCACCGTCGTACTACGCGGCTTCCCACAATAATTATGCTAGCCCCATATCTTACAATGCGTCCCCTGTTCGAGTTTCTGCAGGTCATGCTACATCTTCCCAGACAATTTTGCGTCATGATCAACCACAGCTCGCTGTTGCCGCGGCACCAATTTCATACGCTGCTCCTACTTACGCTGCTATTCCTTCTTACGCAGCCACTCACGTTAATTATGCTGCTCCTGCAACCTATACATCGCAAGCGCGCTACACCGGCGGTCACGCAGTTTCTTCTCAGAACATTGTACGCCAAAATCAAGGCATCTCCTCCATCGCCATTGCTCCGTCCACTTATTCTTCTCCCTCCTCACTCTACACTTCATCCTACGGACATCAATCAAGCCCCATTCAACAAGCATCTATCCACGGTATTTCCTCTCAAACAATTCTCAGCCACGCCCAACCTCATGCCACGGCAGCCATCGCCCCTGTTACCTACGCAGTCTCTGCCCCATCTCATTACGCGGCTCCTAGCCATGGCATCATAGCAGCTGCGCAACACGTAGAAGAATACGTAAGTTTATAAAAGTATAATACCTACTTGTGAATTTAACTGTAATATAATGCATATTTTCAATGTTCAATGTGGATTACTTATAATTCTAGGCTCATCCCAGATACGACTTCTCGTACTCCGTGGCCGACGGACACACCGGTGACAACAAGTCCCAGCACGAGAGCCGCGACGGTGACGCCGTGCACGGCCAGTATTCCCTGTTAGAGGCCGATGGCTCCGTGCGCACTGTGCAGTACAGCGCTGACGACCACAGCGGCTTCAACGCGGTAGTCACCAACTCCGCTCCCGCGCACCATCCAGCTCCCGCGCACGCTCCTCAGCACATCATCGCACATCATTAAGTTCCTTCTAGTCATTCGTTAATGGTCAAACATATAAGTGTTACATATAAGTAATTTAATAAAGAGAACATTCAAAAATATATATATTTTTTTAATAAAATCCCTTTTTACAATTACTAAAGATACCATCCCTACAGTATTCACCAAAATCTATGCATCCCTGGGTTTTGAAAATTTTCTTAGCTTTGTGTAAGAAGGAACTAATTTTTATCGTTACTGTGATATTAAGTTTATTCTAGGTTTCTTTTTTATTAAATAACCAACTGATTCGAATTATCGTTCAAAATACAAACACCAATTGTAGTAGAGTAAATAGTTCAAACAATCTGACTTCAAGATTTACCATCAACTTCACTAGGCTGTTGCACTACCATTCTTATTTATTTCGTAGTTCCTTTGTTTTTTTTGGTTACATACTTACGTCTATATACTTGAACGACAAGACTATGGGAAAAACAAGACATAGGGTAACATTTATGTTTGAACGAAAATTATCGATAGTCACCAACCTCATACAAGTTAGAAGTCGAAGTAGGAAGATACCTCGAGATAGATTTATCTCGAATAAATTGTTTACCATAGTTGTTGTTACCATAAATGTTTGTTTTGAATAGAAAGAATAGCAATTATACGAATCTTGTACCAAATAACTGCAAAATCAAGTTTCAGTCTACTTTTAAAAAATTCCCGCATCAAAACTGATAGAAATAGGCAGACTGCATAATTAATTGAAAGAAAACAAAAATAAAATAATAACTGCCACACTCAAAATCTTTGATTAGCAACTAAAGTAGTCCCACAGGTAAGATTGACGAAAATTATAAAATGTGTCTTATTTTAACAGTTCGTTTTAAAATTGGAATTATTTCTAATTACGAAGTAAGCCTCCAGTATCTCAGCTCTGATTAGATGTTTGTATAAGACATCACTTATATACTATGGTTATTTAAGTGGGACAAGGTCGTCGTGTAGTGTCACAATATTTTTATAATTCTAAAAAATATTATAATGTATATACGAACCAGTATTTTGATAATTAAGTTACTTATAAATAAAGTATTAAACGTTTTCCATGTCTATAACAGTAAGTTCATCCTCTCTTATAAAAATATCTTCTTTTTAACAGCTATTCTGAAATAAATTATAATTTAACTTTGAAACATATCGATTTATACAAATAAATATTAACATGTACTATGTTTGTACTTTGTGAGAGTCAAAAAACTTATTTACAAAACTAAAAGTTAGAATTTAGATTTTACTTTTTTGTATACGTAGAGTTGTTGCCGCGTGACGTCATAACGTGTTTCGATAAGATCTTGTAGTATTTATGAATGAAACCAGAAATGCTAAAGAGCGTCTATATTTAGCGCATCATCTGTCACGGTCGGTCAAAAGTCACTGAACCGATCTCGCATGAATGAAGATGAATCATTTTCAAGATGCGGTAATATTTTTTTATAAAGGCCTTTGCAACCTGTTCAAATCTTTACATTACCAATATAATAAGTTGAAATTTTTATGTCCCTAACTAATAATGTAGCTTAAATTAAATTTATAAAACAACTTAATAAGTAGCCTATGTGTTGTAGACCGTGCTCTACCTCTATGCCAAATTTCTGCGAGATCCATGAAACCGTTATGAAGATACCTTCAAACAAACACACATCCATCTACACATGCGCATTTACAATATTAGTAAGACTTATATAATTAAATGTATATAATATAGATCCAATAGTCAATTAAATTATTTTATGGGAAAAAATATTTATTTTTAATGTACGAGTACGTATATAATATGTTACTTCACGTTTCATAAAAATATCTCGTTCACCATTCATATCTTTTGTATGACGAAATTACAAAAATATTCTACAATGGTTTTAACTGTCAATTTCAATAACTAAACAAGTCATTGGTTCAATTTAAAAATTAAGAATTGTCAGTATACATGTTATTTACGAAACATAAATATTTCAACAAAACTCCGGTACTCGATCCCGCCCACTCAATTTGTATCAAGCGAATTAATAAATTAAGGAGTTCAATTCCATAGAATATTTCATTGTAAGTCGAAAAATGGCCCAGATTTAAGGTCACGGATAACAAGTCAGATATTTGACCGGTTCATGTCGGCGTTACGATATTCTTTGCATAACACGCATTCGAATCGTAGATTTAATTGTATGGTACAAGGGATAAGAAACAAAAATTAACATTAATAAAATAAGACTAGTCTTTTCTCTATTTATGGCAGAAGACACATCTCTTATTTAAATTACTATATAATATACAAATTAAATATACAGGATCCATTAAGCGTGTCTTAATTTTTATTACATTTTTAATATTACACTTTCAGGAAGAACTTATATTTGAAAAGTCGATGAAGATTTTCGTACGTAACGATTTAAACCAATTTGCATTGTACCACAATGTAATTCATTCAGATAATATCTAAGACATGTTTTGTAAAAACTAAGTATTATAATATAATTAAGGATAAGAAAATAATTTAATGAAAATCAATAATCTTATAACTTGGACCACAGTCATGCTTGAGCGCCGCAGGCATTGGCCTCTAAATATGAACGAACGCCGGGTGTCAACAAGTTTTAAGAGACTGCTTATTTAAAAGAGATTAGTTTTCGTAACGAAAAATACTTTCCTTCTTTATTACGTAGATATAGTTTACAATTACCAAAATATGACTCGTGTTCTTAATTAAATTTTACAAGATCACAATGAAGTATCATGATATCCGGCTTTAATAAGTAAAGATCTTTTTATCTTAGGAATCAGACGTAACACTTGTATCAATATTTTATATTAGCGCATACTTTTTCCATAAGAAAGACATTATTTAATAAATATATGCGATATAATAACATACTTACATGTAACAGTTAACAATTGCTATGAAAGTTGATGCAGTTAAGAAATAAAATGATTTAATCATATTTAAACAGTGCGCTGCAAATAAAAGATGCAACAGCTGGTCAAAATAATAATAATAATATTGAATAAATAGAGTATACGAATATGCATCTCTAGTAAAATAAAATGGGTGAAATTACGCGTTCTAAGAACTATAATTTTATTTAAATTCAGCTTTCGGTCGTTATTCAGACCGAAACTGAGTGTTCGAAAATAATGCCTGTCTGCAGAATGCCTGAAAACCACGAAAGACATTCCCCTATACTATCGCAAAGGCGGTACTGAAAAATTAATCCTTAACAAATTTTTAAATGTCAATAAAGAACAATTTCTAATACTCATTAGATAGAAAACAAAGACGTTAAAATAGTCATAAGATTTATAGGAATGGATGTTATTAAACAAGTTCTTTGTAGCATCCGTGATGTGTTAACTTCTCAATAACACTTCACAAACAATAGATAAGAATGAAATAATAGCTTACATCATACATCGCACAGAAAGATGTTAGTAGTTAACAAATGTGGTCAGTGAGAGTTCACTTTCATTTGCTCGTGAGAAGCAAATTACCAATTCTCAAATATTTCACCGAATAATTGGACCAATATTTTTTTTTACTCTGTGACTTTTGGTGCTTCACGTGGTATTAGGAAGTTAACACTGTTAACATTTTTATTTTAACATTCCGATTGCTACTTATGTAGTACATTTACATAATGCGTGTCAAAGTAAGTGTGATTTAATAATATACAATTAATAATCCAGCACTTTATTAGTTTTTAGTTCACTATAAATTCAGTTACGTCAAAGATTGCATTAATTTTAATGTCAGTAAAAAATTCAATAACGACTAAGTACAATATTTCTTTTCAGAATATACTATTGGTACTCGTAGTGGAAATTTATATTATAGAATCCGATTCGTTGCATGCATTTTCAATTCAAAATGGTAATGAAGATATATCGAATCCTAACAATAACCAGGAATCGTTACATAAGCTTACGTCATCAGCGCCAGAATTTGAACATATACACGATCAAGAACCAACTGTAAAAAATACAGCCGGAGGTAAAAATGCGAAGGACCAATATGGTTACGCCAGTATCCAATACGCACCCTTAATTCTGAAAGCCGATGAATATAAAATTAAAGAAGAAATACAAGTGAATCCAACGATTCCTGGGTTTATTCTTAGTAATTTTGAATTAAGCAAAAGTAACATAGAACCAAGGCTGGAAGATAATAATTCTCGCGAGGACTCACGTGGATCAATAATACACGGCCATAATATTCAGATACAGGAACCACAAAGAAATTTTCCGGAATACAAAGAAGTGAACAAAGAGAACTCTGATTTGACAACTAAGGAAACCGTTAATCGGGTACATTTCTTAAAATATAAAATATTAAATAGAAAGAGGAATGTCTTAATTGTTTTTATTAGATAAACTATACTTCTTTCCACACGATGTGTCCCATAAAATTGTTTTCTTTTTATAGGTCAGCATAGGTAATCCATTTATGTACCAATATAAAACAGAAAAAATAACAGAAGAGCCAATCGAAGTCGAATTAGGAAATCAAGAATTATTAAATAGCCCAGAGCAGCCTGTAAAGAAGTATATTATGCTCTCTAAACAATACAACAATAATGCGAATGGGTAAGTTATGCTGCTATACTCATTCTATTGTAGTCTATATTATTAATTAGGTAAAATGTAGTGACCTTGAATTTGTACCAAAACAACTGATGTATCTTTTAGACTGTGAATCTGGTTCCTCTATTAGCTAGACTAGACTTTCAACAGTGGTAGAGCCCGCTTTAACATCTTCGCACGAATTGCCCCGGCTCGCCCGGTGAAATACCACGACCACACAGAAGACAGGCGTCAAGTGGAAGCAATTCCGCGTTTCGTCTGATGAGTGTGCGTCCCGGAGGCTTAATTTAGTCATCTTTCCCTTCCCACCCTTTTGCTTATAAGGAAAGAATGGGAAATGGAAGTGGACTTTCCGGATGAGAGGATGCATGGAAAGGGAAAATATTTTTTTTCTGTGCATCCTCTCCTCCGTCGATTAAAGGTAGGTAACGCATATGCAATTGCGTATGTCTATAGGCAACGGTCACTTCACTATTTCAGCGATTGCAGGTGGCCGCTCGCTGGTCTGCTATCTTATGATAAAAAAAGACTAAGCGCAGCTAAATTTCTTTCATAAACGTTAGCAAACCGGAAAAAAATGTTGTGGACCATATTCATCAGTTGTGTGTATTTCTTTCAGTTTCGATCGAAATAGAGTTCTATATCAAAAAGAAACACCTATGCTTCAACCACAACTGGTTCACGTAAGACCTTATAGACTCCATTTGAATGTAGCGCGTGCTTTTAACATCGTCAATGCGCCTGTGAAAAGCAGATATATATCCAAATTGCTACCTTCATGCCACCATAATGTACATAAATCTGATTCAACGCATCTGATAACGCCGGCTGAAAGACAAACGAAATTATATCCAATGCAGTTTAACTACAGCAGAATTTAAACCGATAAAGATTATGCTTTTATGGATATTTAGCAATAATAAAAAAAATTATATGAAACTGCTATTTTATTCCCTGAAACTCTGTCACTTGTATAGGTACTAAAGAAAATCCTTCTCATCCACTCTATAACCTGATGTTTTATTTTAAGTAAGGAAATTAATATTTCACCATGTCCGTGATAATGAAAGATATAATTTCCGTTAATCTAAAAAGTCACACGAGTGAACTCAATTAATTATAACCATCATTCAGATATTAATCAATTAAGACGATGATTTGATTCATTGACCGGTAAATTAGTAATAGGGGAAGGTCAACGAGCTCGTTTGACAACTTCCACCTCTATTGGTAAGTGCTACGATATACTATAAAATATAGACGAAACTATTGCATATCATCAGTTGACAGAGCAACCGTTAGTTAAACATACAAAAATGTTCGCTAAAGTAAGTAAAAATAATTTTATATATTTTTTTAGAATTCTTCAGGTATATTATACAGTTGTTTTTGGTTATTATAATAAAAAATAATACATTAATAAAAATTATTAGTCATACTTACTATAACATCTTTTTTCAGTTCGTAGCTGTGTGCGCCTTAGTGGCTGTCGCCAAGGCTGGTCTGCTCCCCTCTGCGGTCCATTACTCTCCTGCCGAGGCCGTCTCCTCACAGAGCATCGTGCGCCACGACCAGCCCCGTGGTATTGCCACCAAGCTGGTAGCTGCTCCCCTGGCCAAATTGGCTGTAGCCGCCCCCGTATACCACGCGCCCGCTCCCGTCGCATACGCGCCCGCCCCTGTCGCCTACGCGTCCGCCCCTGTCGCCTACGCTCCCACACCCGCTGTATACCGCGCTCCCGCCCAGTACTCAGCCCCCATCGCTAAAGTGCTTGCACAGCCTGAGGAAGTTGTAAGTTCCCAAAAATTCCGTTTGTTATTTCTTTTAATTGTATAAAATTATGGCAACACAACATCATCGTGAAGTACAACAAGGAGTGTAAAAGCAATAGTTTATTATCAATGCAACATCCTTATTTACTTACTATGCTCATATTTCCAGGCATACCCTAAATACGACTTCACATACTCCGTTGCTGATGGCCACACCGGAGACAACAAGTCCCAGCAAGAATCCCGCGACGGTGATGTTGTGAAGGGCTCATATTCTCTGCAAGAGGCCGACGGCTCCATCAGGACTGTGGAGTACACCGCTGATGACCACAACGGTTTCAACGCGGTCGTGCACAACAGCGCCCCCAAGTCCGCTCCCGCCCTCATCAAGGCTCCCGTCTACGCGTCAGCACCAATCTACTACAAACACTAAATAGTCATTCGTTGCCATTATATTAAATGTTAATTGATTAGTTATTTATTTAAATAAAGTGATTAATTTGTATAAACATGTATTGTTTGTTCCTAAATACTTTTAGACATTATAGTTAGAATCCTTTTTTCAAGTGTCAGAATGATTACTGAGGGGACACAAACGTCAACCTTTAAGTAAAGCTAGCGTTGCGTTTTACACTGGCACAGTGTCGGATTTTCTTCCTAACAATACAGAAACTGTACTTATTAGAGGTTATTCTGATTGACTACGTTCACGCTTAATTCTGCAATGCAATGCTCCTTAGGTAATAAAACGATTCAAAATACCTTGTATATTTAATTAAAGCGAAATCTCACTATTTACCTTTGTCACGTTCGAGAAATCCGCCTATATGTGATAGCAATATTGTACGAAACTGTGGGTTACGATTTTGAAAAAAAAAACATTAATTTGAGATAGTATATCAGTCAGATTTTTTAAAACAATCATTACGAGTTACATTTTTGATAGGCTTTATGGAGTCAATAACTAATAAAATAGTAACTAACAAAAGACGGCTTTTTAAAGGACAGCTGCAATACTTATAAATTGAAAATAAGTAATTATGGCCAAATAAATACTTCTGTTATAAAAATGCTGAAGCTGTAATAAAATACAGTAATAAGACAAAATATACTGTTAAACTAGTAAAATATTTTGCCGAGAAAGCGGGATTAGGTCAAAACTTTTTACCAGCAAATTCACAAACAGCGGTAACGTAAGTATAGTAAAACCAAAAATTACACGACGCTGTTTTTAACGATAAGGAAGACTAAAGACGTCTGTAAAATATATCTATTTAGACACAGGTTGACTAGATTAGTGTCATATTAAAGCAGAAAGATATTAAGAGGACAAAAAACAGAAGAGTATGATTGTGGATTAGCCAAAAGAAATGTGCCAGAACCACCGCAAAAGAAAATCCGTATTCTCTTCCTTCCTCTCTGGGACAAGGGCATGATTGGTATTGTTATTGAAGTAAGATTTAATGCGATATTTCTGCGAGATACAACAATTTCATTACCGGAATACTGATACTTGTTAAAATTATATTTGGAGATTTTATTTTATTTGTATGAAATCATAAGTCGTATAATATACGTATATTACTGGCAAACTAATTTCTCGCTACTCTGCGACTGTGATCATATATTATGTAAAGAGTTAAGATGTAAATACTATTAACTTTACATAGATATTACCTAGACTTGTGTAATTTACATAGATTTCAGAATTCATTTTTCTGCTTCTGTAATGCCTAGACTGAGAGAGTTATAAAAAATTAAATTAATATAATTTAAAACTTAACAATTAATAACAGACGTGTTTCTCAGATGTTAAATTCTCTACATTGCCTTCTGGGTGTTCCGGCCAAAAATCTTAAACATTCCAGTGAATTATTAATTCTAAAACGAATAGAGCTATATAGCTCAATTCTTATGAACACTCTGAAAATAATAGTTGGTTATGACATGAAATAATTGTACTACTGAAAGTGTGTATCATCGCAATTATTCATTTGTTTCAAAGTACCTAGACAACAGATATTTCGCTGATTAAGCCGGTCCATTCACGAAACAGCTATTAATGTTGCAGAGCTAACACCACCAACAAAATCAGCCGGAGGCGAGGACATTGAACTGGTTTTAAATCAGCCATTAACTATTGAAGGCACCAGTCAACTATATAAATGGCAAACTATACTTTAATTAATCATTCTGTTCAGAAGTACCACAGTAAAATGTTCTCCAAAGTAAGTTACTTATGTTGGTAAAATTTAAAAAATATATTAGGATCCATAAATTTAGCATCAATTTAATGTCCATAATAATGTTTTCACTACATAAAAATAATCATATCCGCATAATTTTTCAGATCGTGACTTTGTGCGCTATTGTGGCGGTGTCCCAGGCGGGACTCCTGCCAGCAGCCGTGCACTACTCATCTGCGGCAGCCGTCTCCTCCCAGAGCATTGTGCGTCACGACCAGCCTGCTCTTGCCACCAAGCTGGTTGCCGCTGCGCCCGTCGCCAAGCTGGCCGTCGCTGCCCCTGCTGTGTACCACGCTGCCCCCGCAGTGTACCACTCTGCCCCCGCAGTGTACCACTCTGCCCCTGCCCCCGCAGTATACCACTCTGCCCCAGCTCCCGCCGTGTATCACGCCGCCCCTGTCCACTACGCAGCCCCCGTCGCTAAAGTGCTCGCTCAGCCTGAGGAAATCGTAAGTTTCCCAAATATGTCATTTCTTGACAACTTTGACACATAAAATTGCGTACACTGCGGACATCTGGTTATAAAAAACTAAATTTTCATATTTCTAGGCGTACCCTAAATACGACTTCACATACTCCGTCGCTGACGGCCACACCGGAGACAACAAGTCCCAGCAAGAATCCCGCGACGGCGATGTTGTTAAGGGCTCGTACTCGTTCCACGAGGCCGATGGCTCCATCAGAACTGTGGAGTACTCCGCTGACGACCACAGCGGCTTCAACGCGGTCGTGCACAACACCGCTCCCACAGCCGCACCCGCCATCATCAAGACCCCAGTCTACACCGCCCATGCTCCCGCCTACTACCATTAGAACCTCAAATAACTGTTAAAGAATGCTTGCAAATGTTAGTTTATTAGTTATTTATTGTAATATACGAAAAAAGTTCTTTGCAAAACAACATTTTTTCTACCATCATCGACCCTCTCTTCTATCTTTGTAATAGAAAAATAGCAGTTCGATGCCATGATGTTAAATGTTAATTGATTATAACGTTTGAATTGAGTAAATAAAAAAAAATCAAACTTGACATGTTCTCACACTAAGCAATTTTGCGACATTAAAGAATGTGCAAGTAAAATAGTCTCTTAAGCATTTTTAGTGTTGTATTAAAAAAGGTGCATCAAGCCTAAAGAGGATCGACACCCCTTCTTCTTCAACAATTCTAAATTAATTTAATATACTCTTTGTTGTCATAAAAAGAATAGTAATGTCTGTAAAATAATTCAATTTAAATCCAATATTTAGTTAACATATAATGTTATTATATACTAACTATCGCCCGCGACTATATATATTAATAAGCGGAATTAAAAATACCTTTATTAGTACCCTATGTGTTCTTCCAGACTATGTTCTACATCTATGCCAAATAGCGAGATACTTTAGCCGCTCTGGAGATACCTCCTAACATGCATCCATCTATCCATCCATCTTAACACTCGCATTCATAATATTAGTAAGAAGTTAAATAGTAAGAAACAAGATGATGTTAAATGTGTTTTATCCAAAACTAGCTGTCGCCCGCGACTCCGTCCACTTGGAATGAAAAAAAAACTTAATTAGTTCCCGGCAATTATTCGAATCACCTTTTTAACCTTCCCTAGACCTCAACGAACAATTCAAGACCAAGATAAGATAAATCCGTTCAGCCGTTTTCGAGTTTTAGCGAGACTAACGAACAGCAATTAATTGTAATATACGTACACTAGCGGACCCGACAGACGTTGTCCTGTCTACACGTCTTTAATTTGAAAATTTCAAACTTTTTTTAATAAGCTAAAACATTCTGGACCATTTTGATGAAAATTATTATTCAAATGTTATGACAATATCCAACATATATATGGAGTTGAGTTTGACACTGCGATGGTAGCGCCGTCTGTCGGATCCAATGTAAAACATTCGAAAATCAACAACTACTAATAAACTAAAAATTAATTAAAAAAACATTGTCCAGCGGACAAAATTGTGAATCTAAACCATTCCCAGATCCCCTTGAACACACACAAAAAATTTCATCAAATTCAAAACAAACATCAGTCGCTTGAGAGAAGTTCAGTGACATACACACTCACAGAAGAATTATATATATAAAGATATAGATTATGCGATTGATTAATAGCCGTTTTAAGTGCTATAGGATAATGGCAAAGGCAGTAGCCTATAACTATTGGCTGTTATGAAAAGTACTAAAGAAGCAAAGCAATATTTATGTTTTTTTCATCTTGCTCCTAAAGACGTAACATGACATCGGAGAGTAGATATAAGTATAAAAATAGTACCATCGGTCCAGGATTGTACAGACCATAGTTTACAATAGTTCTAGGAAATTTTCTGAATGAAATCTGTTTACGTATAAATAAAACACAATATATAAGTAGAAAATTGCTTCATTTTCATTTATTCACCTCATCAAATGAGACGAATAAATGAAAATTTTAACCTTGAACGTCATTCAAAAGAACTATGAAATTAAAATAATTAGTAATAACAAAACAACTCCCTGGGTTTTTTGTTGGAGACTGCAAATACTACTTATTATTTGAAAAATATAAGTAAGTCATTTGACAAACTTGGTGAAAGGTTTAGAATACAGGAGGTTACAATGAAATAGACTAAAATACATACTTACGTAAATTCAATTAAAATATGACCCGGTGACAGTCGAAAAAAAAATTATAATTTAAATATTCCTCAGGACTCTACCTATATACCTCACTTTAAAAAATATATATTTTTTCTTTAATCATCATCAGTCAGTGGTAAAGAAGAAAACATAATAGTTCACAATTTACCAATGCGTTCTAGGTATCATCCCATCCTTACATCCAATGAACAATGGAGAGAAAAATTATTTTTGTCTTTTTCTGTTTCTCACCCATAAAAACTTTTACCGTACATTTAATAGAAAAATATACTTTATTTAATAGAAAAGTATTCTCCTCGTTTCCATTAATTTCTTACATCGTGTACCAACATTCTGTATCCTTTAACCTCATCTTGACTATTAAAAATAATTAAAATGAACAAACGCAGCTTAAAAGCACAGAACAATTTAAAATGTAACACTTTGACCTATGTGCATACATTTGTCAAAATCAGCCCGCGGCGAGGACATTGAACTGGTTTTAGATTAGGCAGAAACTATTGAAGGTGGCACTCGAGTATATAAACACAGAACTATGCCTTAATTAATCATTCTATCTTGAACTAACATAGCAAAATGTTCTCCAAAGTAAGTTCTACTATAATAAGTACATAGAGTAATAAAAAAACTACACACAAGTGAACATTTTTGGTATTCTAACATTTTCACTGTTTTCTAACATAAATTATTTTCCAGATCGTGACTTTGTGCGCTATTGTGGCGGTGTCCCAGGCGGGACTCCTGCCGGCAGCCGTGCACTACTCACCCGCAGCAGCCGTCTCCTCCCAGAGCATTGTGCGTCACGACCAGCCCGCTCTTGCCACCAAGCTGATATCCGCAGCGCCTGTAGCCAAGCTGGCCGTCGCTGCACCTGCAGTGTACCACGCTGCCCCCGCAGTGTACCACTCTGCCCCTGCCCCCGCAGTGTACCACTCTGCCCCAGCTCCCGCCGTGTATCACGCCGCCCCTGTCCACTACGCAGCCCCCGTCGCTAAAGTGCTTGCTCAGCCTGAGGAAATCGTAAGTTTCCCAAATATATCATTATTTGACAACTTTTTCATCAAAATAATTGTAGCATACACTACGGTCATCTAACTTCGTTTAAGCAATATTTTACCTTAACACAGAATATATAAAAAACTAAAACAAAACTTAATGTTCATATTTCCAGGCGTACCCCAAATACGACTTCACCTACTCCGTCGCTGACGGCCACACCGGAGACAACAAGTCCCAGCAGGAATCCCGTGATGGCGATGTTGTGAAGGGCTCATACTCGTTCCACGAGGCCGATGGCTCCATTAGAACTGTGGAGTACTCCGCTGATGACCACAGTGGCTTCAACGCGGTCGTGCACAACACCGCTCCCACAGCCGCACCCGCCATCATCAAGACCCCAGTCTACACAGCCCATGCTCCCGCCTACTACCATTAAAACCACAAATTATTGTTAAAGAAGACTTGCAAATGTTAGTTTACTAGTTATTTATTGTAATATACGAAAAAAGTTCTTTGCAAAACATTGTTTTTTTATTTAACTAAAATAGAAAGAGTCGTCACTGTTGTTATTTAAACTTTAGACCGTGAACAAAAAGTTCTGTATTTTCTATTCTCATTAAATGCCTTTATAAATTACATATGAATATCTATAAAACGTCTTTAACCACTTTTAAAAATAGGTAGGGAACATTGGCGTTTCGAGTTTTCTCACCTAAGCGCCTGTCACTGGCCCATCGGCAAAATTACAAAGTAGCAATTTTAGTACTGTTCAAAACTTTACCTAACATTTGCTGATAAATTCTGAATCAAGCATTACACAATTTTCCCCATATATCACCATGTGAAAAACTTGCAAACAACAAAATTATCAACATGTTATACAACCAATAATGTTACATTAAAGCTTTATCTCTTCTTTTCGTTGTCGTTTGTTTTACTAACAACGCGATTCTCTTATTTTGTCACTTGACTTTTTTTTTAAAACATGCACTATTCTTCATGGCCAGTACCACCTCTATGATAGTAGACACACTCATAAGATACCCCATATGTTGATACGTCAAACTTTACTAACCAACCTTTCAGAAGAACCATACTAATATCATAAAATGCGAAACTTTAGATGAATGGATGGATGTTTGTTTGAAGGTATCTCTGGAACGGCTCAACGGATATTTATGAAATTTGGTACAGATGTAGAACATAGTCTGAAGGAACATATAGGCTACTGATTAGGTTTTTTTTTATTTCGCGCGGACGAATTCACGGCGACAGCTAGTATAGGTATGTATTAAAAATACAAAGTAATTAAATGGGTTTATATAGATTAAAATTATCTTACATACAATGGTTATGTTCGATTGTAATTTCAGATATTTTCAAGGCATTGGAAATTACAAAATCTTTAGTTATAATTCTATTACAATAGGATCACAGCTCGTATTAAATTCGAACGAGTTTTTGCGAGATAATATCGGAACGTAACCCACTCTCTTTTGTTAAATTTTGTCTATAGATTTAAACTAAAGGGGAAATTGGGCAATATGTATCGATAGTTGTTAATAAAGTAACAAATATCGTTAAATGTTGAAAAAAATAGCACAAACTAAAAATAACGTGTTTAAAGGCCTTTGAAAATACTACAAGTAACGTGAAAAGGAGAAACTTCACTTTATGGATTTAAAAAATAAGTTTATACGATCAATTACTTTGAAATTATTCAAGTTTCTGTAAATACGAAAAATTATGAAACATTGTTTTGCACGCATTTTTGAAATTTTTAGCTTCAAGTTTCTAGAATTCAGTATTCCATTTGAGTCAATTCTCCCCTTTTTGTAAACCTATTGATGAAAAAGTAGCTTTAACATTGTTTTTAGATTTGCTGAGATTTGAACTATGCGATTACATACCTATTTAACTAGACTAGAATAGCATGGATAAGCCTTCATAAATTAATAAACCAATAATATCTAGTGTAGTCAGTGAATATAATATTTTAATCGTCCATGTTTTATTTTGAACTTCCAATATTCATGGTTGACTTTTGTTGTTTTGACAACTCCGTCATTACTTCGTTTTAATTCCAAGAATTTCAGTCTCTACTTTTATTACACTTTTTTAAAACAAAACATAAATAATTCTATTATCATACATACAAGTGATAAAATGAGACCTGAAAATCTGGAGAGGTGTAATATAAAAGTATATTCCACTCTATTCTAACGTTAACAATTTTAATAGTTTTTTTAGAAATATGATTTACTAGTTTTTATATAACACTTTCTCGAGTATAAAATATTTTTCTAGAGTATAAAAGGGATCAAACTTTATCATTTAATTAACAGTTTCACAGTACATCTTGTTAGAGTTGGTTCATCTATACATCGTGAAATTTGTTCAAGGGTAATAAATTTAATTTTAATTAATTAATCTAGAAATTCTAAACTGATATATAAACACGGCTAAACACTCACGTATATACGTCCGGTGGCGGCACCGACTAGTTTGAATAATTTAATAGCTAGAAATTCTATTCTTTTGTTTAAACTATTTGGATTTGATTTCCCTATAAAGTAGTTTATTCTTTTGTTTGTTTTTGGAAATTTTACTTGGAAGAAATAATATTATTTTTGTGATGATTTCACAGATGCTGTCGTTATTGTTTTGTCTGAGTGTCGCATCAGCTGTGCTTGTCGATCCGAATCATGATCGTCAAGAATACTACTCCACAGGAAATCCAAAGGGCTGGCAATATTTCAAACAATACCATCCTCCTAGTTCACCAGTTTTGTTTACTGCAGACACCCATGTAAGATACTCTATTTTGTAATTACTCCCTCTCGACTCTCTCTATTTTCAAGTTACACTATTTGGAAATAATTGTTGACTTCAGTTCTTTACCTTTGCTTAATTTTGCTGTGTGTTGTTGTTGTATTCTGACGAATTTAATTAATAAATAAAAAGCTTTTGTTATGTAAGTTTTTTTAAGACAAATTATTAGAGTATAGGTGCAAAATCATGGTGGCATAATTATTATTAATTAATAATTTTTATTACCAAAATACACAAAATTATAAGAGTAAGTATAAGGGCATACAAAGTTGTAAACTAAACTTATTTCCCAGGTGTATCCGAAGTATGAATTTGAATACGCAGTTTCTGACAAACGGACCGGAGATCATAAACATCACTATGAAACAAGAGACGGTAACAAAGTCCGCGGAGAGTATAGTCTTGTGGAACCAGATGGCTCCTTCAGAAAAGTGCAATATAACGCTGACCACCATAATGGGTATGTAGGATGTGAATATATAATCAATATATAAAGAGACCAGGATAAGTTATAAGCCAGATTTTTATCGTAAATACACTACTTTAATACTTTTAGACATTATTAGTTAGAATCCTTTGGTGCGAATGGCGCGCTTTCGTTACCAAGTCAAGTGTCAGAATTATATAGTGAGGGGACATAAACGTTGACATTTTAATAAGGCTAGTGTTGCGCCAGTACAACGGCACAGTGTCGGATTTCTTCCTAACAATACGTTGTTATTTAAACGTTTAAATTATTATTTTTTCACAGATTTAATGCCGTCGTTAGTAAAACTGTTCACAAGCATGGCGACCACGCTTTCTCGATATTCGGTCATACTCAGCACTTCATGCCACTTGGACAAGGCGTAAAGATCAATAAATTCTTCCCTAAGAAAGGCTATAGTCCTTATAATCCCATTGAAATAAATAAAAACCTTGATAACACTGCAACACAAACTATAGAGGAGATTGAGGTACCTGCCTTTGAAAGTAAAAATACTTCGACTGTTTCTGACGTCACTGAGAAATACGAACCCACAAATGTTCCAATTTTGGAAACATCAACAAAAGCAAGCAATTATGAATTGCCAATCATTAAAATGGAAGCCGTAGAAGGCCCTTTGGTTCAGGTATTACCAACGGAAATATCGACAACAACTAACAGCATACCAGACAAAGATGCAGAAAGCGCATACGCTTATAAATATTCTGAAAAGAATGAAGGTTATTCCTTAAGTGGAAACAACTCGACAGATGAAGATACTATAGTAAAAGAACATTATCCTGATTCAGAAGTTGCTTCATCATATTATTCTAGAATTTACTATGTTGGTTTTTAATGTACGGTTTATTTTATAATATTGTTTTTTAGTTATAATGTTGTTATTATTTTATAATATATTACGATACTTGTATTTTATTACCATCATTTATTTTTACGTTCATAAATCGAAAATGAAGTTTAGTCATCCAAATTAACTAAAAATGTATTAGCGCCAAACATTTGGCTTGAAACTTTTCAAAGTATTTCTAGATATTACCTTGTCCCTTTTTACCTCTCTAACCACCTTTCAAATTTCATTCAAAGAATGAAAGCCTGTATAGTATCCGATATCGGTGTTGGTTTTATTACTAGTATTATAAATGCGAATGTTTAGATGCTTGGTTCGATGGATGTTTGTTTGAAGGTATCTCCAGAACAGCTACATGAACCTTGCTGGAATTTGCATAGATCTGGAACACAGTCTGGAAAAACACAGAGGCTACTAAAGTATTTTTTAATTTCGCGCGGACGGAGGCGCCTGGGACAGCTAGTACAAAAGCCCAAAAATGGTTCCAATAAAATGTTAATATATTGCACTATCAATGGCTTAACATCAGCTGTATTACACATCATTAGTCTTATAGTATTTCATATTGACCAAAGCGGAAATCGAGAGCAGATTACTTAATAAACTTAGGTTTCTCGCCAACCCAGTTACCATCATACCTTCGCCGAAGCTTTGCCAATGCGGTCCCCATTCTAATCACTGTCTAAAATTACATTCGTAAATTAGACTAACATTAACTGCAGCATATTTTAAAGATTATATTTTTTGAAATAAAGTGTTACATTTATGATATGAATGAATACCTACATTAAATATTGTTAGATTTTAGCTAGAAATTTACAAAAAATAAATAAATTATATCATTGCTGGAAGGGGATTTGTTGATATAAAAGAATCGGTAAATGTCACTTTTAATTTCTGACAGTTTTACTAAGATTTAAAAGAATGTATAAAAGGTTAAAAATATCTGCGAAAAATAATGATGAAAAAAATAACGTAACTGTTGTAATATAATTTATTTTTTGTATTAGAAAGATATCGACTACACGTGATATACGAGCCGACGTTTTACGCAAACTCACAGCTGGGCTGGACTGACTTTGCATACTGTATTTTAATTATAAATAAGTAATTTAGACGAATCTATTTCCAGTTGTAGTAGTCAGCTGTCAGTACTAAACTGACGTAATTAAAATATTTACTGTTATTAAAGTAAGTAAGTAAGTAATAAAAAAGTTTAGTTGTAACTATTAAGTCATGCGATCCCAATTTTTTTTTCATTAAAATATTATTAGATTTTTGTTAATTTGCTATTATTTGTTGTACCATTCCAAGTAGGCTTGTAATAGGATATGGTTTACGACAATAGTCGAATGGCGGGATTTCAACATTCGACCACGTGACCGGATATCTATGCCCTTAACCATAAGGCTATTGGCGCTCTATATTTACTCCCTAAAACAGTATAGAGAGAATCTCTAACGTGAATTTGTTTACAACCAGTCATAAAAGTTCATGTTCAACTAGAACATAGATGTTGTAGACGCAGAAACTTCCATCACTATGACTAAATGACAGTACTTATTCGTAGTTATCATGCAAACATTGCACGCTGTGTTTTCAAGCATCGACAATGCTGGTAGGGACCGTTAGGTAACTGAATAACTATCGCGTCACTTTATATCTCATAATACATTCAAGGCGTTTATTAGTTTACGTAAGGGATTTGATAACAAGAGCAGAGGCAGGCTTAATCTGGTGCAGAATGCACAATTTCATTTGCTGACATAACTAGCCGCTGCTCAACCGCAAACTTGCACCACGCAAATATAACATCGCTTATGACATTCGTGTTACAAGTATGACAAATATAATAAATCTCGTTTTTAAACACTTTAACATGAGAGGACATGTTTCTTACCCAAAAGGTTAATAATTTTACTTTTAAATTGTAACGTAATACTTAACATCTGCTAGGTTTTCTTTATATCTACAAATAGATTAAAACAGTCGAAGCTTCTGATTTTTATATGGATTATTTATTATGGATTATACTTAGTTCAATTCTAGTAAAATATTGAATTCAATCAAACAGTCACTGGGAGCCCAATTTAAAACATTAATCTAGAATGGGAGATATAAATGTAGTCCTTAGGTTTCGAAAATGCAATCGATAATCAAATTTTAACCATAACATGAAGTCTACTAGCGTCATAGTAAAAAGCGTAATATAAAATTTTATGTAAAACCTAAACGTAATTCCTTCTCAATCAGATGAGATAACAAACTCTCTTGTCTAAGCAAATTCTAAGCTATATTAAACATATCTGATCCAATATTATGTTCAAGTTTTTTTGTATCTGTGAATTTATGAATTGTCTTTGTTATAATATAGTAATTCTTGAATATTATCACCACCTAAAAGGCCGGCAACGCATCTGCAGTTCCTCTGGTATTGCTGATGTCCATGGGCGTCGTTGAACACCTTGGTGTTCCCGCTGGTCGTTTGCCCCCTTCTGTTATTAAAAAAAACATATATATAAAAAAGAAAGTTATGTATTTATATTTCCTGACTGACAAATTAGTTAAGCCAATACTATAAGCTATATGTTAACTATTTTGTGTTTATTATTGTCTGTTTCTAGCTGTAAGTCTACCATTTAAATAAATAAACATGTTATAGACAAAAAAATCTTGATTTTAAAGATTTTCAATGAATCTTCCAAAAATATACGTGTACGTTCTGTTATATGATCCTCTCGTTATTAAATCTTGATGCATAAATATCATCTTCTTATTGGTCACCATAACTCCAGGCTGCAATGACGAAACGGCTTAAATACAGGTTTACAAAAACGTCTGGTCTTGATGACACCAAAAGTAGGCATCGGAATTATGTAATGCCATCTTCGCGGCGTCTGTTTAATTTAAAAACCTCGGAATCGTCGTTAACAAAAAAATGTAACAATTTAAGCCGCTCACTTAATGTATTTTCTCTATATACTGTGGTCATACCATCTCTTGCGACACTTAATAAAGTGCGCAGATTGGCAAAGCTGCAATTACTGTGATCCGATCGGATATCGTCAGGAATAGACTCCCCTCCCCTTCCCACTACGAGCGACTTATATTTTGTTTGTTATATAAAAAGAGTGGACTATCAAAGCTCCACCAGTCGTAAAGGCATTTGATTCCAAAGCATAATGTTCTCTAAAGTAAGCCGTCTAATAAAAATTGTCGATATAATTACTTAAAAAAATAAATTATAATTTAAAAAATAAATATCATGAAATTTAAATTAGTTTTTTTATGATTGTTTCATAAAATTTTAAATGGAAATTGTCTGCACAGATTGTGATCGCTTGTGCGGTGATGACGGCCTGCCGTGCGGGGCTATTGCACCACGGCCCCGCAGTATCGCATAATATAGTTCATCACGAGCAGAGTATCCAGCATGAAGTACCAGTGCATTACTCCGCAGCTACAGCACCAGCCTCTCATGGTTATTATGCCGCCCCTGCTATCCATGCCGCCCCTGCCCACGCTGCCGCCTCTCATGATGATCATTATGTTGATGAATATGTAAGTTTAACCGAAACTAATAATCAATCACAAATTACTATTGATAAAGATTTTTAATTAACTTGCTACAAATTAATTTGCTCTAAGAATTGCAATAGAAGTATAATCTTCACAACAAACAACGTCTCGTAATCATTAGAATATTCTCAGGAATACTCTCATAGATAGATTATGATTAAATTGAAGTTTCGATTACATGTAAATGGTTCCTAACAACAGAATGTTTTGGCGACTAATAATAAAAATATCACACTAATACTAGCAAATGTTTACTTTTGCAGGACATACCAGTTAATATCCGTATTCTATTATAAATAATAATGAAATTTAAACATTCTAGGCTCATCCGAAATACGGTTACTCATATTCAGTTGAAGATCCGCATACAGGCGACCACAAGTCCCAACATGAGGAACGCGACGGTGATGTAGTGAAGGGAGAGTACTCCCTCTTGCAACCTGACGGCTCCTTCCGCAAGGTCACCTACACTGCTGACCATCATAACGGGTAAGAATTGTTGGTAAACAAATAAGGATTAAAATTGCGCTATTTGTTGGAATTCTCATCATCAGCTCACTATACCTCACCACTGAGCCTACTCTAGCCTACCCTTAGTTAGGGATGACTAGGCGATAGTCAACCACGCTGGCCCACTGCGAGTTGGTTGACTTCACACATATCTTTGAAATTCTTCACAGATATGTATGTGTAGGTGGCATCACGATGTTTTCCTTCAATGTAAGAACGTCGGATAAATATGTAAATCGCAAAACACATTGGTACATGGCGGGAATTGAATCCAGGACCTGCAGATTACAAGTCAATTGCTGAACCATTGAGCCACCGACGCTCCATTGTTGGAATTCTTGAGGAGTTAAAATATTGATTTTCAATTTATATAACCTGCAAATAACGGATGGTGATTAAGGATCGCGAAAAGCATCGACTTACTACTAATCAATCACTTTTTCTACTTATATTTAACTATATCTTTCAATTACTGTTATATTAATTTTTTCATCACTGGATATATCTGGAAATTCCGGAAGCAAGACAAGTCACATTGCACCGACATAATTTCGCCATGCTGTTGCTATTAAATAGTTATTAACATACATATTTTTCCTAGATAATCAATTTATTATCACTTAACCTTATTTTTTTTAACAGATTCAACGCCGTCGTACACAACTCTCCACCTGTCATCCATCATCATTAGAACACCAGAAATCATCCTGTGATATTAGATTTAATTTTCAGTAGTTTTTCTAAGTCTTTCTTCTTGTATGTTTTGTTCAAGATCTCTACCCTGTTAGTGTGTGTATAATAAAACAAGAAATTATTAAAATGTGATATGAATTTAAATATATTCATTGTTTGTTTATTGTACAAACTATTTCTTATATACTAGTGTAGTTTTTACTATTATATACCTACTTTTAGTTATTTACTTTTTCACCTAGATTGTGTACAACTTGGTATAAATATTGATATAACAGTTGACTGTTATAGACTTCATAGTATTGTTTCGATGGATGGATGGAACGACTGAACGAATCTCGATGAAATTTGGCATACATATAGAACATAGTCCGGATGAACACATAGGCTACTACTTAAGTTTTTTTTAATTCAGCGCGAACGAAGTCGCGTGCGTCAGCTAGTTCAAAAAGAAATACATACTTCCATTCATCACAAACAATACTTACATTAAGGAATTAATGAATAATTTCACAATAAAAATCTTATGGACAACTCTTAATAACGTTGCATTATAATCGTTGCTTAAGCGGATATTTTGAAATGTGAAGACAATTGAACATTTTCGACCTCAAATGTGAAACGAAACGCAATACAGTAGGATCATATGTGTTAATTGCACTAAAATGTAACTGTACGGACGTGGGAACATTTGTATTGGAACTGGAGTTTAAATATAACATTTTAATGCACTATGCTTTACGCAGCGTCGAGTGAAAGTGATTTGAATTCATTACATCGATAGCCACAATAAATTATGCACTAGCTGGCGTCTATGAAATATGCAGGAGATTGATAATAATTTGTTTAATTTGTGTGTGCCTTTCAACAAAGTATGTAAACTGATAGAAACATTATCTAAAAGGAACGCAAAAAAATCGGAAATATTATTCGATAATACATCTTGTTTCAAGCGAACGATGTTTCGAAGACAATTTTCAAAAATAACCGAGTCCCGTACATTTCTACTGCAAAAAACCTATATTAAAATATATTGGCATCCCTCTCATTCTATACAAAAACAGAGACAATATTATGTTTCGGCAATGGGAACACATAGCTATAGCTCACTGTCACCTTCGAACTTAAACGATTTCCATGTAAAAGTTGTGTACTCATAATTATTTATACCCGTCGGTCCTTTCGACATTTAATAATGATGGCACGCAATGTAATCGATGTCTGCCAATATTTTATTTCGCAATTCAGACGTAAATTACTGAGAATCTTTAATAATGAAAATGTCATCGAATTTCAACCGTACAGAACCTCCGAATTAAAATTAAGGTTTTTATTCTTTAAAATTTTTATAATATTTAATTTATATAATTCTTAAAAAATATCATTACTAGCTACCGCCGTAATCGCACTCACGCGGAATTAAAAAAAAAACTTAACTCTGGAGATACCTTCTAACAAACATACATCCACCCATCCATCAATCTAAACATTAGCATTTATAAAGTTAGTGAAACATAGCATAGTCCAATTACACACATGTTTTTAAAGTAAAATTTGTAAAAAAAATGTTATCAACATATTATATTCATACTATAACAAATTGTTATTAGTAACATCATCATCATCAACCGGCCCTTATCCCTATTGGGGGTCGGCACAGTATGTACTACTCCTCCATACATCTCTATCAGTCGTCATATCCGAATCTGCCCCCTTCCTGCGCATATCCTCTTTCACACAGTCATTCCATACTTGTTTGGTCTTCCTCTACCTTTGTAGCCATCCACATTCAATCTCATTACTTTTTGCTTTTATCATCATCCCTCCGCATAACATGTCCAAAACACGCTAATCTTTTACTATTTTATTATCTTTTATTATTAGTAACACTAGAATAAATAGATAACAACATAAAAACTACGTTTACACAATTCCAACATAAAACAGTATCAAACATATTTAGTTACAGCGACAAGTTCGATTAATCAATATTGTATTTATAATAATCATAACAATATAAAACAGACCTTGTATTAATTTTGTTTTATTAACACGTGTTTTTGGTTTAGATATTTTCATAAGTTCATTGGATTTGATTACGATTTGACAACACCAGCTGAACTTGAATCGATAGCTGTTCATCATGCATTATTCAGTAAGTTAGTAATTACAATTAAAAAGACAAATAAATAAAAATAACATATAACATTTCTCTGATTTTTTTTATATTTTAAACATTTAAGTATTTAAATCATATGTAGAGAACCTTATTTATAAGATTCTTACTTTATTCGTTATCAGATAAATCATAACGGTTCAAAAGCTTTATAGCTTTTGTGTAAATATTTTACAATGGTACTATTGCTTTCTCTAAATCCTCGAACACATGAATACCCAAAAACTTTCACTATAACATTGTTTTATTTCCTCTCTTTCAAAGGCTTTTATAATTTAATTTTAGAGTTCTACGATAATAATAAGATTATCTTATATATAAAATTCTCGTGTCACAATTTTCGTTCCCATACTCCTCCGAAACGGCTTGACCGATTCTCATGAAATTTTGTGAGCATATTGAGTAGGTCTGAGAATCGGCCGACATCTATTTTTTCCTCCCGCGCGGACGGAATCGCGGGCGACACCTAATATATTATAAATATAACCGACAAAATAATTATTACCAATAAATTTAAGAAATTAATTAACTCTAAATTTCTATCTTCTCGTCCAAGATCAAAAGCGTAATAAAAGGCATAGAAATTATTCATTAATATTAAATAACACAAGTGACCTTGACGGAAAGGCGCGCAAACTTACATTACGTTCTCTTTCATGTTACTAACCAGCTGAGAGATTTATTAGATGCGTTCATTGAGATTCATTTATCTACTGGGTATAGCTTACAAATTACAAGGTAAACTAAAACATCAAAACAAAACACAATTACTTATAACGCATTCATAATTGGATTTTATTTTGTGTGTGTGTGTTTCGCAAAATTAAATGTTCTTGAGCTCCTTGTATCCAGAGAATGTGCTACATAATGGCTTTGATATACAATTTTATAGTTCTATTAATTTGGTTAATCTAAGAAAATTATATGATTTGAAATATAAAACCTAAAAACAATCGAAAGGGGGCGTATCAACAAATTGCCAAATGGGACTGTGGGATCAACACTTGGCATTAATTCAATGACGTGACGTCATGATAACAAATGTATTAAGTACAAAAATTGAATGCGACATTTTAGTACATACAAATTTATGTTTTCCGCTAGTTGTTTGTAATATCCTCTGTCGTTTACTTGAGTCCTATTTCTTAATCTTACAAGCGTAATGTTGTCAGATTAGCATGTAAACAGCTCATAAAAATGCACAAGAGTTATATTTTATAGTTTCCATGCTTTTTATTATATTATACAGGAAATAATATTAGTATACGTAACTTATAATATAGCTGTTGACTGAACTTCATTCTCAGATCGTATTTTTCGTTAAAACAACTCTAATTTCGAATTTGGATTACAATAATGAATATATATTAAGATATAACGGCGAAAAATGATACGAGATACGATGCTCTTAAATTAGTAATAATTTCTATTTTATTTAATAATACTTAATACTAATATTATAAATGCGAAGTATGTTTGGATGGATGGATGGATGGATGAATGTTTGAAGGTTTCTCCAGAACGGCTGCATAGATCTCGCTGAAATTTGGCATATATGTAGAACACTAGACTAGAGGAAGACATAGGCTATTAATTAATTTGTTGAATATTTTAATTCCATACGGACGGAGTCGTGGACGACAGCTAGTATTTTTAATTGAATGCTTTTATTTTATTTTATTATCTTCCTATACATTTTATTTAAATATCAGAGGAGGAATACTTCCTTTGTTTAAAGAGTTTCTTTACGATCATTGCGCAACAGTTTACCGGAGCAGTGGTTTGTTGCTTGTTGCAGTACGCTACTTTCTTAGTGTCGTATATACCCGTACCGTACTCGTACTGGATAATGTATGATTGATGTAACCGGTTCGTTGCCGCTGGATGAGCATTTTATGTAGGCCATAACCCACTCCGCGAAACAAACATAATAAATTACTTCTTTTTATTGTTTAAAAATGTTAAGCTATTTTTATATATGCTATATACCTTTCATGAAATCCTTTGATTTAATGTCGATAAGTTTTCGTTATAATTTATCTATAAAATTACAATACAAAGTAAAATATACATACTATGCTTCTACTACTATACATAAATATTATTTTAGACGATTCCAATCTTACAAATATTATAAATGCGAATATTTAATACCTCAATGGATCTCGATAAAATATGGCACGAATCTAGAACATAGTCTGGAAGAAAACATAGGCTACTAATTAAGATTTTCTTAATTCCCCGCAAACGGAGACACGGACTTCAGTTAGTTCTTAATAAAGATCTGTGTTTAAACATTGAACGCCAATCAGAACCAAAACAAAAAAGCATTGTTATAATTACGTATATATTAGTATATAATAAAATAAGAAGTTTGCATATTAAACTTTTGTTGCGCTGATTAATTTAAATTACATAAGACTTATTACTATAGTATGTTACGTCAAATTAGCCTGCGGTATGCCTCAGACCCAAAATAAGACAATTCATATGAAATCTAAATCATAGGAAGTTACAAGAAGTAAGTTATAAGTCGAAATATTTTAACATTCTAGGTATTACCCGTTATTAAGATTATGGTACTGATATCCTTGGAAGGAAGGTTTTTGAATCATGCCCTAACCTTGGATGCATGCCAAAAAGTGTCAAAGTAGTGATGTAATGCTTGAGGCGATCGCATCGGCCCGTGTCATGTTCCAGCCGGTTTGTCGGCTCGGGTGACACTCGCCCTCGCTGACCCTTACTATAAAAACTACTGCCCATCTGGACACCTTATCAATTGAGCTCCACACTCCTCATCAACATGTACTTCAAAGTGAGATATTTTACAGATGTATCAGTTTTAAATTAAAATTTAAGAAACAAGACCCCATTTCTTTTCGCAAAAACAACAAAAAAGGAAAAAATACAATGTGACATAATTTTTTTCCAGCTTGCAGTCGTCAGCATCCTAGTGGCGGTGAGCCATGCTGGGCCTGTTGATGAGAGTCATGGACAGGCCGTCTCATCACAGAGCATCGTCCGTCATGACCAACCCACCAATGGCAACGGCGGTGGACAGATTATTCACCAATCAGCACCTCAACTTCAGCAACATATATTACAGCACAACAGCCCCATTCTCCAACATATTGTACCTGGTATCCAAGCTCCAGTCGCTCTAGCACGTGCCGATCATATTGAAGAGAGTGTAAGAATTTTTTTTATTTAATAGACTCGTATAATCACTCCAATTTCTGCTGCATAACGTTATACGGAAGCTATTCAATAGAATAGACGCTATCAAATTATAGAGGCGGATCTTCAATAAATTTTATATCAGATACTGCGTTCAAATTACTTTGAATATTGTTATTCTTCTTTATCTCGCATAATATTTATTAGTAGCTTAGTGACAATAAGATTTTTTTTTACAAAAAACAAAAAGAAAGTGAAAGGCCAATCGGATGTGATTAAAACGTGTTCGCTTGTTACGACCCAATTAAATCGTTATTGTATAAACTTCTCGACATAAGAATGTTTTGTAAGCACTATATGATTCATTCAATGCATCACGATTGATCTACTTATTACTCTAAGTCTCGAACGATAACTACTTTGTAGCGTCATTAACTTAGTTGTTAATACACTCCTACATATTTATACGATCGTACGATAAATCATCTATCAATTTGTAAAACTCTAAAGGCTACAATATAGTCAACTTTTTGAGTGATTCGTCTAAATGGAAATATAATATCTTAAAGTTTGTTCACGATTCCTGCTAATTCATAATATATCCTTATTTCAGGCTCCTGTGCACTATGAGTTCTCTTATTCAGTAGAAGATCCGCACACTGGTGACCACAAATCGCAACACGAGAGCCGCGAGGGAGACGTCGTGAAGGGAGAGTACTCGCTGCTGCAGCCCGATGGCTCCGTTAGGAGAGTCGAGTACAGTGCTGATGACCATTCTGGGTATAGTTATTAGTTTCTTTCTTACGTTCACTAATATACTCGATTTGTTTATCTCATACATAATCCAAAACCTAAATATGCTTTTAGAGAAGTATATTTAGGATGTTTAAAAATTCCTGAGTTAAATGCAAGGATGCTTAAAATTACGTAACAAGTATTTCAAGCTTTTAAACAAAGAACTTCCAAGCAAGCGTAACTAACAACATGCAGATAATCTTAGAGCATTGTAAATAGATCTTCCGATCGCACTATACAACTGTTGTTTCGGTCGATAACTTCGATAAAATCGACCGGTTTGAAACTAACTGAAGCACCTAATGTTTGTAAGTTAGCACTGGACCTTGTTTGTTATACAACTTATGCTAAGTGTGTAGTTAATAATAAGCAATTGTCATGATTATCTCATAATTAGTCTACCGATGAATTTGGAAATTAATTCAGTTAACAGGATTGAAACTCGATGGAATACTTCATTACTTCTTAGACCACATATTTTCATTTAATTTCACTGTATTTTAGGTTTAACCATTTAATCGTTTCAACAGCTGTAACGGTGTTAATAGATTAAGCCGTTGTGAACCCGATTAATTGTACCTAACATCATGCATATTTTTTTCGAAACATGAACTATATAAGTTATTGCACAGGGTTATGCAATACCTCGACAGAAGATAAAACTCTACAGACAGTTTGTTTAGTATTCATATATTTTTTTTTTCACAGATTCAATGCCATCGTCCACAACTCAGCGCCAACGGCTCATGCAGCATCTGCACCGGTAGTGCAAGCAGCGCCCATTGCCCACGCGCCCGTTCTCCACGCGGCACCAATTGCCCACGCACCAGTCCTCCACGCTGCACCTCTTGTCCACGCGACGCCGCTCGTTCACGCTGCGCCCATCGCCCACGCTCAACTTCTACACGCTGCTCCATTATTTGCCCATCAGTAAAATTAAAACGCATACATCTACTTCTGTTTGAAATGTATTATCCTATTAGAAATAAATGTTATTAACTTATAATTTTCGTTTTACATTTTAATTTATCATTAACACATAAGTTTCGTTTGAACTTTAGATACGTTAAAAAAAAGAGTTGCACAAAGATGTATCACAATCACAATCGTATATCGCTTTCATTTTTAACGTACTCATTTATTTAGAAAAAAACATAAACGCAAAAATACCAAAAAATAAAATATACCTTATGATCCTCGATGTTTTGATAAAAAAATTGAGGGTTGCCCGTTATGATTTATCACGTTGCATCAAAATAATAAAAACAAATTTACATAAAATCAACAATTTTCGTAAAATGTAAGTCGGTACTAATATGAAATTATATAAGCCTACATAAATAAGTTATGAACACCCATTCTGTTAATAATTAGAATAATGACTCTTTGTCTACCAAAATATAAACATTGCTTAGTTTCAGTTATTCTAGTTCTCAGAATATGTAAGTCAGCATTACAAAGAAACGTAACACCGGTATTATGCTTCATCGTCTTCAGGAAATGTCTATCATTTACATACCTACAAAAATACTATTAGACGATCGTACGTACCACCTTAGTATGAAGAATTCACTGGCGGATGTGTGAAATTGGGTAACGATAATTGCTAATTGGTGTTAATTTTAATAACTTCTCTTACACAACATTTTGCAAGAAATTCAATTTCGGGTAAATCTTTTAAAATGTATGTAACTTTTTCATAAATGTTGTGAAATTCTTCAAGAACCATCTTCGACTTTTTAATTATAAAATGTTGGTAAATATCGGATGATAAATATGTCATACATACAATACTCATCTTATCTTACTAATATTATAAATGTGAATGTTTTGATGGATGGATATTTGTTTGAAGGGATCTCCAAAATGGCTGCATGGATCTTGTTGAAATTTCTAATTGTGAATAAGTCGCATTGAGTTGAAATGATTGCTTAATCATTGACTTACTGTTATAAAATGGAAAGCGAAATCTCTTGCTTATAAATTATAACACATTAAATAAAATCTGTGAAAAGTGAAATTTTAAGTTATTATGACATCACATACAGGCGTTTTTAAAGATTTAAGATAACGTAACAGTCGTTTTCCCAATTAAAGTAAACAAAATGAAATAATTCAGCCAATGTTTACATCCTATAATGTATCCAGTAAGAGACACATTTGGTTAACAACACTTACACTCCGGTTCTCCCAAAATTGCTGGTTCGAGCACAGTTTTTGTGAAAAAACGGAACCCTAATAAGATCACTTTGTTGTCGGTCCGTCTGTCTGTAAAGATCTTTTTTGTTTTTATTTTGGTTTAAACTAAAAGACTGTAAGCTGTTTTCCATTTGCCGCTTTTTATATGGTCCTAGTGTAGAATTGAACATTAAAATTACATCAACTGTTTTATTTTAACTTGGGCACTATTTTTAATACGATTTAATACTTGTGATATGTCATCGTTTCCTTTAGATATTAATTTACAAATATCATCGTCTTGCCGAGATCAAATATTAATAAATTAGTTTGTCTTTATGTTTATATTGCATCACGACAGCCGCAGCAACGCTCCAATTCCTTACTAGTGTGTAATTGTATACGCACAAGAATCAACGAGAACAGCGTCCAGTTTAGAAAATAATTAAATTATTTGAACATTCCTGATAAATCCAATGACTAGCCATGCAAGGGAACTTTCTGTCTCTATTGAGGATGTAGATATCTAAAAAAATCATATTTACAAATAGATTATTCAGAAGTCCTTAACAATAACAGTGAGATTAGCCCAGTCCACACTAGCATGTCCATACTATACATACTAAGACCTATTGTAATTTCACGAATGTAGTTTAAAGATAACTACAACATTACAACTATATCGCTGGTAACCAACAAGGGTGGGCAGAGACCAAGGTTTTCCATATGGCGAGGTCCAGGCTCGTCTAAAAATAACAAAGAATAACCCAAAGCTATATATGTTTGAAGTAATATTGTTCATTAAAAAAGTAGGGAAATTAATTTGACCTTATTCCTTCACAGAGATTATCATCAGATTACGACGTATTGGTCATAGGAGATTTGCAAAGTTACTATGAACCTCACATCATTGTAATTATATTTTTAGATTTCCTTTCTCTGATTTGGCAGATAACCAGGATCACGTCTTATGACAGAATCTGTATATCAATGGAGAAAACAAAGTCGTAAAACGTGCTCGAGATTAAACAACTAACTTGTATTAGTAGGCAAAACGTTTAGTTTAAATTATTCCAACTGCATTTCCCTTCTTAATCCAATTTTAATAGAAAGGAGGCAAACTAGAATCATTGTGGCTGACGCAATCTAGACCAACACAAAGACATATTCATCTTAGCTGATCCAATTTTTCTTAAATACAATTGTCTTGACACACACAAGATTTTCTTACCTTGAACCACGTGCTATAAATTTTAGTAATTACTATATCATTATCAAACCGCGGTATTCTTGCGTATACATTGTATACGGCATCGCATCTCGCGGGAAGTAATATAAAAGTCGGCGACTTCGATTCTAAGCATCAGTCGTGTGTGGTCGTTCGGACGAAGCAAACCTAACAAACAGAAAATGTTCACCAAAGTAAGTGCAATCGTGCCTCTATCCCGTTGAGTAATATAGTGAAAGGATTGTTCTCAGTAACGCTTGCCGGAAGTGCTCCGCTACGACAGCTACTCTCAGCGCTGTATTTAAGCATATTTCTCGATCATCAAGACTTCCATCAAATTTACTTGGTCTATATTTAACAACAAAAAATATTCTTGACTGTTTTTTTAAATTATGCATTTCAAATTTAAAAGTTTACAATTGGTCCTATTCAATAGACGGATAATGGATTTGAATCCAGCTGATTTTTATTGCTTCCAGATCTCCTGAAAAAGACTGTTTTGCGTCCACTATAACCATTATTAAATTCATATTTAACCTACAATTGTCTATATTAAAGCTATATCATAGGACAATCGCAAAATCGACTAATCAACAATCAAGAATACAGAATTAACTGAAGAAATGGTGCACAAAAGAGTTAACAGTTAACTTTATTCATAGGCAGCTGTGGTCCTCTCAGTGGTGGCGTTAGCAGCGGCGGGCGTGGTGCAGCTTGGCCATGGCTACGGCGGCGGTTCCTACGACCACGAAGCTGTCGCGTACGCGCCAGTCGCACAGCTGTCGTACGACGGACACGCTGATCAACACGTAGATTATCATGTAAGATATTACCACTTACTCCTCTGACACATTAAGCCAAACTGATTCTTGGCTTTGATTCAAGAGAGCTATCGGCCCTTGTCATAAACTGACTCGTGTCAGATAGCTATTGGGAGCTCGCGTAGTCCAGATCCTATATCTCCAACAGTTGATATTTATCACAAGCAACCATCCTTAGCTTGCACCTCGAAAATACCACCACCTCAAAGGCCGGCAACGCATCTGCGGTTCCTCTGGTATTGCTGCTGTCCATGGGCGCCGTTGAACACCTCGGTGTTCCCGGTGCTCGTTTGCCCCTTCTGTTATAAAAAAAAATAGTCAAAATAGTATTTATGCTTAACACCATATTCGGAAAGACTTACTTAGGGTAGTAATAAATTGTTATAACTTAGTCATTATACTAATAGAATTATCTCATAAAGTTATTAAATTAAAATAAAGGTAATTTACTCTGATAATTCTAATAATGTTATATCGAAATTAAAATGTTGGAAACCAGTAGTGTGGTTCTTCATAGTCCCTTATTTACACAAAAGCTTTACTTTTCATAGATTTGATTACAAAAAACAATAGGAAAATGTTTATTTTACTTTAGCTAAAGTTAAATTATATTTTCAATTTACAATCTAGAGCTTAATTAAATTATTACAACCTTGAATCATTCATCACACAAGAGAAATGAAAGCGTACAACGCAATCTACAAAACTCATTATAATTACGAAACCAAGTCATTGTCTCAATGTAATATAACTTAATGCACTAAAAACTATGTGGTCGTGAACATATAAAACGTTTGGAGATGCATTACGTCAAATTAAAATTGCACGATAAAACTATTAACAATATAATAAAAGTTTTGGAAGCATTAAATTAAATGTAATTTCTAATACAATATGCTGTAACACAATAGACTACACCTAATTGATCAGTTGCGTAACTTGAACGTGTTGTACGACCGATCCAACTTGATCAACAGTTTCCTGGATACTATCTATCTACACAATCCAGTATCCAACTTTATGTAAGCCAATTTCATCATAGACTATATTTTCACGTTTACGTTTGGAGGGATACAAACTCGAGACAAGTAATTATTTTATTTTAACGCAACTATGCAAATTAACAGTCATTTCTCTACAGTTAACGATTTATATTCACGTTTAAGATTACTTCCCTTGCTGTGTTTGATTGAAGTAAGATATTAATAAACTCAGTTTAGCTCCAGTTTATTCAAATATAATCAAAAGAGAAACCGAAATGTTCTTTTTTTTAAATAAAACAATCATTTTTGCGAAAGACTGCGAAAGTTAGATATTTCCGAATTATTATTATATTTAGATATTTCAGTTTTATTTAATGTCGACAAAAACTACCTATTTGTCGCATTCAGTATAAATTCTTGATATATCTTTTATATTTCCAGTGTGTTTATTTTTGTACATTATCGTTTTGTAATCCTCTAAATCATTTTATAATATGATAACGTAATACGAAAATATGGACAGCGTTCAAACATCGATTTATTGTTGTTCGCAATCCAAAAGACTGTCACAGTATTGTATGCCGCGAGCTGTAATTTGATATAATCAGCATTATTATGTAACTGTTTTCCATATCTAACTGTCGAGTTATATTTCCAGTCGTGACTGTTGTGCTGTAGCGGGACTCAATTCCCAGGAGTATTTCGAAATCCTAACCCAAGAGAGTTTATGGGGTTATAATGACTGTAATACACGATTGTCATATTACATGGCTAGGAATAGGTCGTTTGCATAAGTTGCGTGCTCTTACGCTTGACTTCATGCTTGATCTGGATTGTTAACAACTGAGGCCTGTTATCAGTTTTACATAATCAATAACTAGTTTCTATTAATTCTTTAAGACCCTTTGAGATAGAGCCCAATAGAGAGCCCATAAGACCCATAGAGCTGTTAAAATTGGTCACATTATTCAATTGAGGATATTTTCTAGACATAAAAAGATCTAAGATAAAAGTGCAATTATTTTTTCGTTAAACTATAACAATATGTTTCTAGTGTTGACCTGAGATTCTTTTTAAAATACTTTATCATCGATTTAATTATTTATTTCAATTGCAGGCTCATCCTAAATACGACTACTCTTACTCCGTTTCCGACCCCCACACCGGCGATCACAAGACCCAGCATGAGGCCCGCGATGGTGATGTCGTGAAGGGAGAATACTCCCTTCTGCAACCTGATGGTTCCTTCCGCAAGGTCACCTACACCGCCGATGATCACTCAGGGTATTTTTTTTTACTATAGCATCAGTATTAATTCTGAACATCGAATGAAATAAATCAATAATAAAGTTACACAATTAGACACATCTTGTTACATGAGAGAGATGAAAGATGTAATTTATAATGAAAAGAAAGAGAGATAAAAGGAATAAACAAAAAAGAATATATAATATTTTGTTTCATACTTAATTATTGTATATTAAAAAAAGTCGTAATTTTGACAATTATTTAATAACTAATTCATATTTTTTTCCAGCTTCAACGCAATCGTGCACAACACTGCGCCCGCGCATCCTGAATACCATCATTAAACATCTCTGGCGAAGGCCACTGCTTCCATGTGATATTAATATGTACCTTATTACTTACCTAGATAGTCTTTAGTCGACATTAACTTTTAAGACTGCGGCGAAAATAAACTATTAAAAATATGTTTTGTTTTATTAAACTTAAACTTTAATTATGAGTAAACTTATAGTTCGACTTGTGAAAAGATCTGCCTCAATAGTATATCCTTGGATATATATCGGAGTACATCAAGATATATGTAAACGTATTATCAAAAGGCTTCTACGTACCTAGAGCTCGTCTGCTGTTGATAAACATGGCCATTTAATGCAACCTGGCTAATATTAATGTCTAAAGTCGGGGAATTTACAATATGGACAGGAATTTGACTTCTATCCCTCTAAACGTGAAATATTTTAGACGTTTCTTACTCTCTTGGTTTCGTTTACCATGGGTTTTATAATTGTAGAAATAACAATACAAGTAGAACACGTAACATATACTAAATCTTTATTAAAACGAAAACTTGAACTAAATTAAATTAAGTTTCTGTTCCGTAGCCCACTTCTTTATAACACAGTTTGCGTGACGTCACAGCTTACTTTCAAACTAAATTAATAAATCTAGATTTTGAATTACAATGGTAATTGTACTTTTGTTTTGCTTGAAAAGTATAATGAAAAAACTTAAGAAACATACTAAGTTTTAAACACATGATAATTTAAAAAGTTATATAAAATTTTATGTAACTTTTTAAATTTGAATTTCACTACGTATTTGTGCGATGTAATGTGACAACTTTTGAAAAGTTATTTATCATCCAAATAATTCTAGAGAAAAGGCAGTGCGGTTACGAACTATCCTCATTATTGTTCGTTTTCTTATTCTTATTTTTTTAAATTTCATTTAAAGTCGTTTTCTTTTTTTATTATTCCTTTTTTTTATTTTGCACTTTATGTTAGTATTCTTTTCAATCGTAAGATAATATTTGCTAAAAAAAAACATTAACTCTCCCGCTTTATCGTAATTAGAAAAATGTCTTTTCTACAAGCATGATTATTTTGTCCAAAAATGAAAAGCTGAGACAAATAATGCTCACCCTAAGCCTTAACTTTAAATACTAAAGAAATATTTCATAAACTACACGCATAATGTTAACTAGTAAGTTTTAGTCTAGATTACAAAATAAAATTCGTTTCTTTTGAATTCTAACTTGTATAAATAAATCCGAATTTTTAATACACATCTCTTTTTAATAGAAGCGATAAGATTTTTAATTCAAATGCAATTTCTATGATTGCAAATGTATTGCAGATAATTTACTAAAAACATAACATCGTGGACTATTGGTGATGAACCTATTAGAAGAAAAATATCATCCATCTGTTTTAATTAGAAGCTAGCTTATCACTATCTCAAAGGCCGGCAACGCATCTGAGGTTCCTCTGGTATTGCTGATGTCCATAGGCGTCGTTTAACACCTCAGTGTTCCCGCTGCTCGTTTGCCCCCTTCTGTTATAAAAAAAATAAATGATATCTTTAAAAATCATTTTATAAGCAAAAAACAATTAGAATTTATCATACATATATTCGAAGCAAGAATTAACAGTCTCAGTATTTCACAACTATTGTACTTCAGATTGTATAATTTACTTATTTTCATGCATCAATTAATAGATAAATAAACAGTCTTTTACTTGAAGGAAAATAAAAGCGTAAAAAAGAATGCTTGAAACTTACCTTTGCCTTTAGTTACATCATTATTTTTTCCACAAGACACTATTTTTGCTATAATATTGAAGTAGGCGCTATATATCGGTCCAAACGAGTGGAGTAGAGCTCCAATAATGTTGGAGAAGACTTGTGTCAATTAGCTTTTTTGGGTGGGTCACATACCCACCATAACTAGTGAGAAACAAAATAATATTGAGTACTAAAAGTCACATAATATCTCTATTTTAAGCCAGTTTCCGAAAATTTCACATGTGTAAAAATGAAAGCAATATTGAAAATTTTGTAGCTATCTACCACAAATGATACATGAATAAATCAATAGAGTTCACACATTAGATCAGATAGCCACAATTGCATTTTAACACAATACATTACTTAAGACTGGATTTATATCATACGATACACAGCCACAAATTTCAGCATATCGCCACGGATTATGTTTCAATATTGTAGTTTCGTTTCATAAGTTATTACTGATATAACGTATTTCTCGTGCAGATTTTAAGAATTAAATTGATAGCAAGATAATTTAGAAATTTGCTTCCACAATTGCCAAAACACTGTATGTTATATATATCATACAGTGTAGTACATAACTATAGTTAGTAGAACAGTCTTCAACCAAGTTTTGGATATAAATGCAGTAACGGATGTTCCAAGACATTATATTTAAGTAACTAGTTTGAACGTAATATAGGTTAAGTGCAAAGTAAAACATGCTGTGTAGTATTACATAATTTTAGTACACAATGATCCAGTAATTTAGCACAAACTCAATTGTCACGGTACAATTTACATTATTGTCTGTTTCGCGTCCTGAATGTGGGAGAAGGCAGGCGGCGGACTCTGTGTTAAATGCCGATTAACATTTTTATTGTCTACCGCTACTCAATTGTTGGACGACATTGATTCTTTGTCTTTGGTGGCGGTGAAAAGAATATTTTAAGTATAAAAGAATCAACTCTTAAAAGTCGAGACATCCACCTTTAGCTTTCAGTCATCTTCCATAAGTCAATCGAAAACATGATTCTCAAAGTAAGTTTTCGTGTAGAATATTTATTATTGTGTTAAGTATAAAAATTAATTAAGTGTTCTTTTTTCAGGACTTCACAACAGTATCCCTTCTTGTCTGTTTGTTTCTGAATGGAGGACATGGGGCTTCATTTTCGAATGTTTTCGTTCAAAGCAAGCCCGTGGAATTTGTGAAATATGCTCCCGCACCTTCTATCATCAGTCCAGAACTGGCTCAAATATCTGCTGCACCAGTAGACCCATTTGTTCAATTGGAACCAGTACAAGGAATTGTTTCTCCTTGTGTGGCTCCTTGCGTGATACCAGGGGCACCCATTGCAGCAATACCTCCACAATCCAGAGCAAACATTATAGCGTATAAAACACCAGTTTCTAATGTTCCTGTTGTATATACGAATAATGATGTAAGTACATTTTAACTTTAAATTATCATTTACCAATTTACATAACAGCATTAGGGTGTTTCCCGTTCCTCTGATTCGTCTTGCGATCAATTAGACGAATGAGTTTTTATCCGTTCTCAATTCTAATTTAAGATATAAGATATCGTTTCCTATTCTCCCGATCTTTATTAAAAGTTATACAGTAATTTGCAAAAGTCTCATTGAAAGGAATGGGAGAAACCTTATTATTAAAAGTAAGAAATATATTAGCAAATGTGCAATCAAAAATATTTGCTTTATACAATTTTTTATACAAAGGACGCTGCAAGTTACCAATACTCTTATGCAGTATATGATGAGAACACAGGCGATCAAAAATCACAAACTGAAAAAAGCGATGGGTCTGTGGTTCAAGGACAATATTCACTGATTGAGCCGAACGGATCCAGACGTGAAGTGACTTACACTGCCGACGATACAAAAGGGTAATTTACTTAAATAAATCAGATTTATAAGTCTCATATGTTTAAATTTCAGTAATTAATAAAATAAGTTTTTTATGAAACCTTAGCAAAATTCTAAGCAAAAGCATTCTAAGTTTTTGTGTAACTTTTAGATTTAAAGCTGTCGTACGAAATTTTACACCTAAGACTCCAGAAGGTTCTGATACTGAAAATAAAGACTCCAGTCCACCTTGCAATGAAGTAAAGAGTGAGCAAATAAAGGAGGAACCGAAAGACGATGGAGCAGAAAGTCAATCCAAAGAAGTTGAAAACAACAATCAAGAAGAAATCACAAGTGATATTGAAACCACTCCCGGAAACACTTCAAATACCGAAGAACTAACTACAGAACAAACTACAAAAGGGGAAACACCGGATATATCTGATTCTAACAATGTTATATCCTATAGCGATATAATAAAATGTCTCCAAGGGAAACTTCGTGGACCAAACGTTGATTTTCAACCTCGTAGTAATCCGTCTCCTTTAACATATATTCTCTTGCCCACATTAACCAGTAAACCATGTTAGATGTTTTGCACAAAATCATCAAGTCTTCCTCGTGAAGTCTATTGTTAATTTTCAATGTATATTTCAATGTAAAAATATTTACCTGTATTATTTTACAAAATAAATCGAGCATACTATTTAAGATGTTTTATTATTTCAAAACTTTATATTCTATTTTAATCAACTCTCCATAGTAACATAATCCTTTCATAATACTAGCTGTTGCCCGCGATTCCGTCCGCGCGGAATCAAAAAAATCTTAATTAGTAGCCTATGGGTTCTTCAAGACTGTTCTACATATATTCCAAATTTCTAAAAGATCCATCCATACTGGAGATGCCTTCAAAGAAACTTCCATCCATCCAAATATTCGCATATAATATTAGCAAGATCGTAATTGAGAAACAGAGTCATAAACTTCAATTCTGACCTCTACATAGCTATTTTAAGATTTTATCTTTCAAATTTTTAGGAAGCCTATTCTTTATCTATGTATACATAAAAGTTTGATATTACAAGATAACATTTATTGGTAACATTTTCCATATATTGTGTACATTAGTTCTAAAATTACAAAATAAGTTGAAAATTTCAAGGTTTAAAACTAACACAGTGTTCGAGGTTCGTAACAATTTTTTTTTCGAAACATATCCGCGCAATATACATATTTATAAATCTCGTAATTATCTTAACAATAAACAAACTGAAAAATTTGCATTATTTCTAACAGAGGAAACAATTGTGATTTAAATATGAGCTATGGTTTTTTTTTTCACGTAACGTACAGATTAGTTTCAACTTTAACTTAAATTTTAAATACATAGGATTGAATCAAAAAAATGGTATTATATTATTATAAACAACTAGCTGTCTCCCGCGACTTCATCTGCGCGGAATTTAAAAAATGCATCTTAAGTAGCACATGTAATCTTCCAGACAGTTTTTTACATCTATACAAAATTTTATATAGATCCATGGAGCTATTGTGGAGATACCTCCTAACAAATCCAAACATTCGTATTTATAATATAAGTAGGAAATAAGATAGTACTAAGTAATATATCAGCAGCTGGAATGCTGGAATTCCATAAATCTTTCTCCAGTGTTTATTTTCTGTTTATAAAAGTTTTGTGATCACAGCAACACTGTTACTACTTACGCAAGAAAAAAACGACCGGTATTGCAATAATGCAGTCAAATAATTAAACGTGAGAACTTTACGATGAAATTTATATTAAACTATCTCAATTTACATAATGTAAAGATATTATAAAGTCCTGTAATCTTACGTATACTAATATTATAATATAAATGAGAATGTTTAGATGGATGGATGGATGGATGGATGGATGGATGGTTTGTTAGAAGGTACTTCCAGAAAGGTGGAAAGGATCTCTATGAAATTTGACATAGAGTTCCGCAAGGAAGGAGTCGCGGGCGACTGCTATTTTATTTTATAACTAGCTCTCAACCGCGACTCGATCCGCGCGTAATTTAAAAATAACTATTGAGTAGCCTATGTTCTACATTTTTTTTCAGAGGGGAATACTTTAGGCAAACTCCGTTCCTCTCTCACCCCGAATGGGAGCATACCCACTAAACCCCTCTGTTTCCTCATAGCCATAATGTGGGACGCCACGGGATCGTGTTAACTTGCCACCGCGACGCCCCACTAACCTATGATCTACATCTGTGTCAAATTTTACCAAGATCCGTTGACCCAATCTCGGAATACCTTCGAACCAACATGCATCCATCTACACATTCGCATATAAGTAAGATTTCTAAGAGAAGAGCAGATGTTATTATAAAAGTAAACTTTTATGTATTAAGCCCTAATTGTTCAGTACAATACGTTCATTGCCTTTCTATTTCTATCATCTGACCCAGTTACCCGAAATAAGTGACAATGAGCCAATATACTACGCAAGAGGTATGCGTTTTGTAAGGGCTTAATTATTAATTATTATTGTTCGATTACTTTTCAATGCAACCACTTACCTTATTAGTCAAAGCACCTGATTGCTAATCCTGAATTCAGGTTACTCGATATACCAAAATATATAATTAAAAGTTGCACTAAACAAAAATATATTACATATCGATGCAAATTTGCTGGAGCTGGTTCAACGAACGACAACCAAGTATTATTTTTTTGTTTTAAATTTAGAATTGAAAATATAGAAGTATAACATAGAATAAATAAATATAGAAACTCACTTGACTAAAAATGTGACGTAAATTGTTCACCTTTTTCAGGTTAAAAACGACTAAAAATCAGTGTCTATCAAATACAAATTAGTTAATGGGAATACTAACGCTTCATTTGTTTCATTATAGTACGAATATACACACCTCTTATACTAAGTATGAAAACAAAGAAAATATAAAGATGGATCTATTAATGCAAATATAAAGGAACTTTATATGATTTACTCAATTACTAGTTTCTTTTTAAAAGGGAAAAATTGTAAAGGTAAAGTTAGCGCAGTTCAAGTTTAATATTGCTAATTTTGAACAAAAAACCTAGGCATTCTCAAATTCAAGTGCAAGCATTGTCTGTCATTGTCAGACTAAACGTGCGATTACGTGTAACAGAGAGGTCTATTACCGCCACGGTTAAATGCCCACTAATTTGATAATAGGATACAAAATAGGAAACACAATACCGGTGAACAGTAACGATCACTATTTTTATGTTCTAATCGATAGTGATTCACGATTATAGATTTAAATGTAGACAGATTGACCTTGAATTCATGTCAGTGTTACGGAGTCAAGGTGCCGGCGCACATTTCTCCGCCCCACCAGCGGACCCGCAGCCGCCTACCACTTGCACATATAAAAACATTATCACCGACCATTGACATCAATCAACACTTGGTAGCTAAACCAAACACACACAAAATGTTCAGCAAAGTAAGTCACCAAAACTACTTTAAATAATTCAAAATCTATCTTAAATATTAATAAGAACCAAACTTCCGAATGTTTAAAGCTATAGTTCCTCTTCCTGTTTACTTTCAGATCGTAGCATTCGGCGCTTTGGTGGCGGCAGCCAACGCCGGTCTTCTGGCCGGACACGGCGGGCTCGTGACTTCCCAGAGTGTGGTGCACCACGGTGGTTACGCCGCAGCTCCTCTTGCCCACGCTGCTCCTCTTGCCCACGCCGCTCCTCTTGCCCACGCCGCTGTGCCCATTGCCCACGCTGCCCCCGTTGCCTACACCTCCGGACACGACTACTACGTAAGTCAACCGCAAAAATTAAATCTTCCTTAAATACTTGAGTTTTGAGCAAATACTTATAAATATTTTGTTTACAGTCGCACCCTAAATACGACTACACTTACTCCGTGGCTGACCCTCACACCGGTGACCACAAGTCCCAGCACGAGATCCGCGACGGAGACGCCGTGCACGGTTCCTACTCTCTGCTCCAGCCCGATGGTTCCGTACGCACCGTTGACTACACCGCCAATGACCACACCGGGTAATTTTATATTCAATAAAAAAAAACTCGATTCATTTTCGAGCGACACGTTTTCTACTAATTTTAAACTTCAACTAATTCATATATAATATGTTTTATTTATTGTATTTGTTTCAGTTTCAACGCTGTAGTGCACAACACCGCTCCCGCTGTTCACCCCGCGCCCGCGCCCGCTCATGGCTACCATCATTACTAATTTCAAAAAAGATGATGATTTTCGAGATCGTTTTTTATTTATTTATAATTCCGTGCAATGATTGTGATACTGTAAATAAAAATAGTGATAAAAATTAAAACAAAAAATGTATTTAATTTAAACCATCCCACAAAACTTCGCTTAAAAATGCAGGACTCCACTTATAGTTTTCTTAAGTTTAAGTAACAGCAACGGAAAGCAAAAACTGTAGATGTCGATATTTGTGTAGCTCAAAACATTCAATGTTATAATAAGCTGAAAAAAATAATTTTATAGAGTTTATAATATTTATAACAAATGTTTCCTCTCCTGCTTTTTAATTATGTTATTTAATTAACTTTTAAACAGTAGATATCTGTATTTAAAGTTAACATGACAACTTACATTGTTAAGTATTAAGTTTTTATGATTTCCTCAAATCCAACTAAGTATATTCTTAATGTAGTATTTAATGACAGAGTAATATTAAAGAAAGATAAGAAACACCACTAGATACACTGGATTCGTGGTCGGAATTTCGACTAAAAACAAACACTCCTAAAGCTCTTAGAATAGAAAAAACATATAACTTTTATTAGCTTTCGTCATAGAGTATTCTAAAATTTTATCATAATAACTTGAGCTAAGCCTTTTGATGAAGACATCTATATGAAAAGAATACGACGACTTTAAATATAAATTATATTCTAGTTTTATTGTCTGGCTACTAGTTGATTGATCGTGGGTTTCCGAGACCAAAAGCCTCGTTGGAGATTCTGGTCTCAGAAACCAACAGTAAGAAATAAATTTATCCATGATCCGCTATTAAGATTTTACGATAGCGATTATATTTCTACTTTGAGGTTAAAACAATAACTACCATGTAAGTAAAACGGTATAAAGGAAGCATTAACAAGGTTAATCGAAACAAAAACTGTTGGTTTTGTTAGAATTAATTACTGTACTCAATGTCAAAATAACAATAAAATGTATAGATTGAATATGAATTAAAAAATTGGATAGCAAAAATTACATGGTCCAATAATATACCAATTTTTTTAGTTTGTTAAAATTTAATTTCACGTATTTGATATACCAAATTTTAACACAAAACTGCTACTGATTTTTTAATACTACAAATTTCACACGTGCTTTTTTAAATTTCATAACAACAGATTACGAAATAGTTTACCGTATTCAACGAAAAATATAATACATGTAACAAAAACATCGTCATCTCTCTCATAATGTTTGATAAAAACAGAGATAATATTTTTTATAGAAACATTTCGACGATAGTAATTTAAGGATCATCATTCTAATATGAACTACTTCCTTTCCTATGAACATTATCAATTACTATAAGAAGTAAAATGTCATGAATTCCAGTGTAATTTGTCGACCTGGCCCGATAATTACCAGCATTCACTCTCTTGAACAGTACTTGCGTAAACAAATGTGCTAACATCGGAATAATCACTTAGAAATAACACTATTTGTGTATCGGAAACTGTCATATTTTTCAACTCTTGGTATGTTTTAATAATTTAAATGTCCACTACAGATTTGAACTAATGTAAGCTCCCATATTGTTTATTTATTAAAATTATGTACTGTTGTCTTCTTTAGTATTAATCTCCCAAAGCATCCATAATCAATAACATCCCTCGTTTTTTTTATAACATAAGGCGGTGGGGGCAAACGAGCAGCGAGAACACCGAGGTGTTCAACGACGCCCATGAACATCAGCAATACCAGAGGAACCGCAGATGCGTTGCCGGCCTTTCAGATGGTGATACGCTCGCTTCTTGAAGGACCCTAAGTCGTAGCAGTTTGGAAATACCGATGACGACAAACTAAATTCGTCTATCAATCATTTGTACAAATAAATTTAACATTGTATTTAATTTTTACGCTGGACTTCAAAAACATATCTCCGGAAAGGGCAATTATTTTGTTAGGTACCTATATAAGTAATATTTAAAATATTACTGCGAGATCAAATTATTCCTAAGGATAGATTTGTCCATTGTTATCACCTGTGTCAGAACAATGTGATACTAATAAATATATATTCAATGAAGTCTTAAAAATTAACACGCACAAACGTTTGAGTATCAAGCTTAAGTTACTCATAAAGAATATTGTAATCAATTCTAGATTAAAATGTTGTCATCCATAACAACGCCAATGTATTAAAGTAATTTAACCTTAAATGTGTCTAGATAAGTCGAGTAACTTTAAGTCTTGAATTTTTATACCCGACTTGGATAAACTTTTCAATACAAAGTTAACTGGAAAGATACTAAAATGACCTATTTTTTTATTACTTAAAGTACTTACTTTTTAAAAATAAAATAATACAACTAAAATATCGTTTATTTGTGACTAATTTGCTGATCAAAAAAAAAATATGTTAAAATTTCAAAAAAGTCTATTAAAAAAGACTTAATTATAGACAGATGTATTCGTTATTTGCATGTATTTAAAGTACAAAAATATTTAAGAAAACATTTGTAGAAAGAATTAGTACCTTGAATTAATATAAGTATTACACATAGTCAAGGCGTAGTCGCGCAATTTACAGCCCCACTCGAGCCGGCCCGAGCGGTGACCACCTCTTATAAAACCATTATTTCCTTCATCTGACACCAATCAACTCTCGGTAGTTAAACCATACACACAAAATGTTCAGCAAAGTAAGTCGTGTGGGCATTTTATTGGAGTATTATATTTATAATGCCAAATATCTGTTTACTTTATAACATAGACTCCATAAAAGAATTTACATACAACTTTTACTACAATATATTCCAAAATAAATAACCAAATCTATAGTAATCATCGGTAATAACAACCCTTAGATATAGATAGATCCAAAATCTCGAAAATCTTCCCATAATTTGCGAACAAATCCCCACATGACTTTGTTTTATTTCAAATATTTCATTGTATTTCCAGATCGTAGCCTTCGGCGCTTTGGTAGCGGCCGCAAACGCCGGTCTCCTGGGATACGGACATGGCGCGGCAGTGTCTTCGCAAAACATAGTGCGTCATGACTCAGGACACGGTTACGCTGGACACTCGTATGCGCCTGTTGCCCAAGCATACGCGCCTGCTGCCCACGCTTACGCCCCTGTTGCTCACGCCGTACAATACGCACCCGTCGCCCAGTATGCTGCCCCAGCTGCCGCGTACAGTGGACATGACTACTATGTAAGCAATACCTTCCAAATTTAAATATTGTAAATAATGATTGATTCAAACTATTGCATTATTTATCTCCATTTTTATTAAAGGCTCACCCCAAATACGACTACACTTACTCCGTGGCTGACCCTCACACCGGTGACCACAAGTCCCAGCACGAGATCCGCGACGGAGACGCCGTACACGGCTCCTACTCTCTGCTCCAGCCCGATGGCTCCGTGCGCACCGTTGACTACACCGCCGATGACCACACCGGGTAAAATTACATTTCATTTTAAAAAGAAAATTTTAATCTTTCACACGACAAAAGATTGATATACATTTTTTATTGAATTAACTTCACTTTAAATCATTTGTAGGAAGTTAACAAACCTGGGTCCATTTGTTTTACAACATTTTTCCTATCGGTTACTTATTTTTATTTTTCTTATATTAACCTCTTTGTTCCAGATTCAACGCCGTAGTACACAACACCGCCCCCGCTGTCCACCCCGCACCCGCGCCCGCTCATGGCTACCATCATTATTAATTTTAATGTTTAATTTATTTATATCTTGTGCAATGATTGTGAATATTATAAATTATAAATTTAATGTGATCTAATATAATTATTTTATTGAAACCTTCTATGAAACTCCCTACAATAGGTCAACGATAATCAACTTAATCCTATTCGCATAATAAACATTGTCAAAAAGTACGGTTACAATATATTAACAGTAGTGAAAACACGAATTCCCAGATTACCATATAGTTATTCGATTGAACTATATTAATGGCACTGGATACAATAAACCACGATATAATAAAGCTCCCCAAGCTTTTTTTCTTCACGAAAATCTTTACAATATTATAATCTTAATAAATTGCATCAATTAAATTAATACCATCAGTATTTATAAAACAAGTACAAAACTATTCCTACTTTAGTTAAATTGCTGTGTTCGACGATATCTTCAAGGTATTGGATATGATGATTCAATTTTAGAAGGACACAGTAAAGGGCTATAAGTTGTACCTTGTTAATATCGTATCCTATGTTTGCTGCGCCCGCGCCCGCGTCTTAACATGAACGAGTACATATTATGTTAACATGTCACCAAGATGTGTTCACAGTTCACACTAAAAAGGTCAATAAAGATGCAATCTACAGCTTAATGATACAAGTTAATGTGTAAGATGGAATAAAAACATGATATGATCTAAGTTAATTTTAAATAGAAGTAACGTGAAAATAAATTTGTTCAAATCATTTGAAAATAAAACAGTTGTTTTTTTCCAGAGGATACATTATTGTCCTCAAAACTAAGGAATACTAAATGACAGCTAAATTTATAAACGGGAAGTGAATTTAATTATAATTACTAGATTTGATACTAGGAAAGTGATAGAGGTGTGGAAGAGATTAGGGGAGGCCTATGACGTGGGACAACCTGACACGCAACTGGATGCTGGGCAATAAATTGTA